TCATTAGCAATATTTTCAAATAATGAATAACGAGATAAGAAGTCTGCATGAGGTATATCCTTTGCCGATCTATGTTCAATAGTGTAATCATATGCACTTAGTTCTAAACTCTATCTTTGAACCATAGCAGCAGATGATTTATTCAAAGATTTTTCTGGATTGTAAATGAATTTCAAAGCTTGATGATCAGTAACTATGTGAAACTTAGTACCAAAGAGATACTTGTGCAAGCGTCTTATTGCCCATACAACTGTTAGAGCTTCTTTCTGGGTTTGTGAGTACCCTTGTTCACTCTTACTTAAACGTCTGGAAATACAAATAACAGGTTGTCCATTTTGCTCAAGTGCTGCAGCTATGTCCATAGGAGACGCCTCTGTAGTGAGAACAGACTTATCTTTCGATGAAATAGGTCTAAGGAAAGCTTGTTTATTAAGAAACTCCAAAGTTTTCCGCAAGATATTCTCATGTTGTTGTTCCCACTTAAACTGTTTACTGGAGACAATATCAAAAAGCGGAGATAACCGTTGAGTGAAGTTGGGAATAAATCTGGAGTAAAACTGAAGAGTACCTATCCATGATCTCAACGATGACATATTATCAGGTGACGGTGCTTGAATTAGAGGTGCCAAACGACTAGCATCAGGTCTGAAACCTTCGGAGTCTACTGTGTATCCCAAGCACGATACAGATGACAAAGTGAAATGGCGTTTAGATGGATTAACAAGAACATTATTCCCACATAAACGCCTGGACAGTTTTAAAAGACGGTCATTATGTAATTTGATATTAGGACAATGAACTATAATGTCGTCTTGGTATGACTTAACACCATCTAATCCATCTATCATCTGATTTATTATATTTTCAAATATTGCAGGTAAAACCTATAAACCAAAAGGCAAGAACTTATACTTGACCAATCCAAATGGAGTATTAATGGTTGTTAATGCACAAACGCCTCGTCAAGAGGAATTTGAAAATAAGCATCTTTTAGATCTATTTTGGAAAAGTATCTTGAGCCATGTAGCTTGCAGAAAATATCTTTAGTTTCTGGAGTAATGCAACTTTGCTGTGGTAGACGATTATTGAATGTAAGGCGGTAGTCACCACAAATTCTAAGTGTTTTGCCATCAGCCTTTAGTGGCGTCACAATAGGAGTAGCCCAATACCAAGACTCAACTGGCATAAGTATGCCTTGCTCAACCAACTTGTCTAACTCTTTCTTAACTACATCTCGCAATCCATATGCAATTATTTGTTGCTTCAGGAAGATAAGAACACTCTCTATTTCAAGATGGACGGGCTGAATCTTCATGCCACCTACACTCTTTGAGCATTGGAGAAGTAATTCTCTGAACAAAGATTCATCAAACAACTCAGTACAAAGTGAGATTTCGACATTTAACAATCAAAGGGCTTTTAATCCCAATAAAGATGGACCATATTCACTAACAAGAAAGGGGATATTTACAAAATTACCACTGTCTGATTTTAAAAAACTGTTATTAGCACCGATAAGAGGTGACCAGTTATGCCTGTAATTGAACTAGAAGTAGGGTCTATCTGGACATTCTTACAAATCGATTGTAAATCTTTCTTAGAAATTATAGATTCAGTACTCCCAGTATCAATTATAAAACAGTGAGACTTGTCTGAACTTGTAGTGAAGGTTCTCATTAGACAAGATTGAGTATTGGGAAAAGTTGAAGGAGACATTGACTGAATTTTAACAGATAAATTGGAAGAAACATGAGGATTCTGAGTAACACAATTATTTGAACTTCTGCAAACAGACATGATGTGTCCAACTTTACAACATATGTGCCAATTAGCACTCCGAAAACGGCAAGTGCTTCGTAGATGAATCTTTCCACAAGAAAAACATAATTTATTGTTTTGCTTTCTCGCAGCATTCCATTATATGTGAACGAAAGTTTGGATTTCTATCTATGAACACTTGTGTCAATGTAGTTGAAGATTGAACGATCAATTCATGGTTGTTTGCTCAAACCCAACTCCTCCATATTTTTCGCGGGAGTCATCAATCCATCAGTCATCGTCTCATCGTTCGCTGTTCAGTGGAAGACAGAAAACTTTCAGAAGTATTATCGTGATTTATTGTTATAACATTTATTCTTATACCTTGTGTGTAATAACTTTATTGTTGGTTACGTGTTGGCGTATCAATAAAGGATTCTCGAGTCGCCAATCTGTGTTCTGGTTTTTGCGTTGGCTATTACACATTGTTTCTGAAAGTCTTCGAGGGACAACGTGAGTTCCAGCATAGTAAGAGCTGGAGATTGACAGTTAATGAGTTGGTTGACAGCATTCATCACTGAACACTGAATGACGACCCTCACTGTTTATGTCGAGTTGTCTAACTGAAGGCTTACAGCCAAGTATCCACGCTACTTGGCACGCTGTCGTGTTAAGTTCGTTACGAGCTACATTTCCGGACTGAATTGGAGTGCAAGGCGATTGCTTAACTAACTAACAGTCGAGTTATACTCTATCACAGTGCACAAGTTTTATACTTATATATTAACGACAGCAGACAAAGGCCAGGCAACAGATCGTTTATTGAGAAAATTAACAGATATTTATAGATTTTTGATATACATTATTGTCAGCGGAGAAGCAACGTCTTCTGATTGGTTGTTTTCTTTCTGAAGGTTATTCTGTCATCTCTTTGTGGCCGTTTCTTAGAAAGTCAGGCAATATATCTGCAAGTTGTATTTGCACACGTTAAGTCTGCCGTGACTGGTTGTTGAGTTCGTCGCGGTTAAGCTTTTTTCTTGTTGTTTCTGATGACCCCATTTCGGGACGTGATCATGGATGTTGATTGTTGTTTACAATTTTGGCTATCAGATGGCTTTCACCACAAGTTGTTTCCCTATAACAGGTGATCCAATGTGTATATGTCTATATGGTACAAACCGCGTCAGTTTTCGGTATTTTTTATGGTTGAGACGTTGGCAATTCATCAATACAACCCCAAAATCTCTGTATAGAAAAAAAGGTTGTCCACTTTCTTATCCTACCATGGTCTTAACCTTTTCATATGTTGTTTCCTCTAAACTTTTCACATTTAATTTTTTTTAATGATCACTTTGCCCTTAGTTTAATAATTAGTTCCCACTATTATCACTCTCACATGTTTCTTTTGTACGTTTTTTCACCCTTTTCACACTTGATAAATGGACAGTCAACTGGCTGTTTTCTTTACTGAGTAACAATTTTAACCTTATCAAATTTTTAACACTTTCTTCTTTTGTGCCATTGATTACCATGTAATTTATAACTTTTATTTTTACTTTTAAAGCCACTTATGAATGATTGTGTCAATTATGTCACGCCTACTACTCAATAATAGATTACTATACACTTTTGATAAACTACCAAAGAAAGGAGACTTAAGTAAATGCAAAAACTGGCGCGGAATTATGCTCCTGTCCATCCCAAGCAAAACACTAAGCCGCATCATCCTGGAGAGAATCAAACACGCCAACCTGGATGAAAAACTCCGACCGGAACAACCTGGATTCAGGAGAAACAAGTCACGTATTGATCAAATCGCCACACTAAAGATCATCATTGAGCAAACCTTGGAATGGCAGTCATCTTTCTACCTCAACCCCATTGACTTTGAAAAGGCCTTCACCAGACAGCGTAGATCGAGTGGTCATTTGGTAACTACTTCGCTACATCTCTTATACATCTCGTCCAGCAGTTATACGACAATGTGGCATGACAAGTAATCCACAACGGGAAACTTACGGAAGCCTTCGAAGTGAGGACGGGAGTGAGACAAGGCTGTATACTATCACCAATGATCTTCCTGATTTCAGTAGACTGGATAATGCGACAGACAGTGACGAGCAGCGAGGAAACAGGCATAAAATGGACTCACACAAAACAACTTGGAGGATCTGGACTTCGCCGATGATATATGTCTGATTTCCCACAAACTGGAAGATATGCAAGATGTAAAAAGCAACAATCTGGCAGAAGAAGCATTAAAGATAGGACTTCAAGTGAACATGGATAAAACAGAGGTGATGAAGATTCCTGGCCAACACCAACAGCAACAACAACAACAGACAACAATCAGCCAGCATAAATGGGAGGAACCTGAAAGAAACAACCTCCTTTACTTACCTACCTACCTACCTGAGAAGCATCGTTTCAACTACAGGCGGAACTGACGAGGATATCAAAGCAGCGTGGATCGGAAAAGCAAGACAAGCTTTCATTACTCACAAGTCTGTGTGGAGGTCACCAGCACTACTCAGTATCAAAAATAAGATCCGGATTTTCGACTCCAATGAGAAGTCAAAGCTACTTACTATACGGATCAGAGACTTGCACTGCGCGTCATAAAAAGCATCTCAAACAAACTTCAGACCTTCATTAACAGTTGTCTTCGCTCAATACTCCACTCAAGATCAGATGGTCGGTCAGAAAAGATCAGCAACAAAGATCTCTGAGGTCATGTGAAAAGGAAATGAAAGCATGTGGACAGACTTGGAGCGGGATGAAAACGTTGGCAGAAAACCGAATGCAATGGAGACGTGCAGCTGAAGCCTTATGTTCCTCTAGGAATTAAAGGATATAATAATAATAATAATACACTTTTGATAAACATAAATACGACTGTACAGCCAGTCTCTGACGATGAATTCGTCGATAAAGACAATTTTCTTCGTTGAATTGTCTTTCATTTTTACTTCATGACTCAATGGGTATTTTCAGTGATATATATATATATATATATATGCATATTAAAATAAGCAAGTCAGTCAACTTAAACTAATTTATTGAAAAAGGTTTTGCATTTTGTTTTAATGAGCGAATTTATGACATAATTTCTCTTGCTTGTTTTTAAAAAAAGATTACAACAGAGAAGTTACTCAGACATTAGAAGAGATTAGAAGAAAAGATAGTTAAATAACACCAGATTCAATGTTCAATGGAATTTAACTTTTGTTTTTTACTTTTGTTTACACCCAGGAGCATATTTTTTGATCATTTGACGCTGAATACAAGAAATTTGTTTCATAATCTAATACAATTGATTGTACTGAATCTTCATGACCTTGTAAAGTTGATATCTAGAAAAATAAAATGAGAAAATTTGAATTTAAATTTTGCTTTGATTCTTGAATACTTGAAGTTTAATAAAGCTGGTTAAGCATTATATAATAATAAGAACAACACATCTAGTCTATCTCACACTTCTGTCACGCACACTTAACATCCAATCAAAGAATAGTCCATTCACAGTGAAAGATATTTATTCAGTATTGGTTTTGTAGGGATTTTGTTTGATTGGTTGAAGGAGTTTATTAAGAGCTGTCATCGGTCGGAGAACCATTGGAAAACCTGGGAGTACTGGACAGCCGCTTCGTCCTAGTTTGGGACTCCTTAGTAGTACTCGCCCATCGGGGTTCGGATCCAGGACCCTGTGGTTACAAGGCGAGCTCGTAGAATATGATGAAGTCTTGTAAATATAACAAATGTGGTATTTATATACAACGTTTTTAAGTCAGACATTGTACCTATGAAGGAAGTAACTTTTCACGCAGTTTCATCTTTATTTCTGAATTATTTTTTTCAACACAGTTGTAACGTGTATTACTGAGCATTAGTTTTGTGTCAGTTCAAACATTCTTATATGTATAATTCCACATTAGTTTGTTTGTTAGATATATCACACAGTCACAGAAACAGTATTATTTACTGGATGACAAAGTTTCGAACACAATTTATTATTTACCCCTGCCGACGCACACCTGATATCTATGGTTGGCCTGCAAAATTTGGGCTACCGATATCCATGCTGAAAATTCCATACTTCTACCAAAAATATAGTATGGAATCAAGCTATAATCAAAAATAAAAAAATCATTCCATCAATTATAATCATACGACTTCGAAACTTGAGTTTTACAGTTTTCTTTGTTCTCTCCTATTCGTCGTCGTTGGGGTAGTAGAATTTTCCAGGTATCCGACTGGACAGTTGTTGAATCATTCCTAATACATGTATTCTCTCTCAGTTGATTCGATAAACAAAGCTTCTGTCATCAATCTGTCCTACCTTACACAGAATTCTTAACAAGGCAGGAATAAAAGTGACCGGCATTCAAACCAACCAAAAACTCAATTAGAAACAAGCTTTGTTAGTTAAAGGATCCTGTGGAGTCTTTGAAACAAAACGATTTAGTTTATCTAATACCATGCTGGAATGATTGTCAGGTCAAAGTAGTAGAACAGGAGCAGTCACTCAGATTAGCTGAGCATAAAATCCTAGCTAAATCTAGATTAGTTGATCCCAATAAGATAAGAAATCTAGAGAATAGTCCAGCTATAGCAAACACTACATGCAATTACACACAACCATACAGTAAAATGGATGGGATAGGATGACATTTTTAAAATCTAATGTCACAGGATGGATGGAGGGAAAGATTGATAACAGAAGGATTGTTTATCGGATCAACTGAGAGAGAATATGTGTAATAGTAATGATTCAACACCTGTCCACCCAGATATCTGGAAAATTCTACTACCCCAACGATGACAAATAGGAGAGAACAAAAAAAACTATAAAACTCAAGTTTCGAAGTCGTGTGATTATAATTGGTATGATAACGAACCGCAGTCAATTGTGTTCGAAAAGTCTTCATCCAGTAAACACTAATACTGTTTTTGTGACAGTGTGATACATTTAACAAACAAACTAATATTGAATTTTAAACAATCTTAGTTACAAACTGAAAATACAACATAGCACGGTTTATATTATTAAGGGATTGAAAATGCCTATTAAAGTTTTCAAAAGAATGGCTACTGAACAGAGAATATTCTTTCCGATAATTTCATCATCAAGTTCTACAATTATATACACATAATATTGAATGAATTAGTGTTATTAACAACATTAGTGTTGATTAAATAACATCGAATCAGTAATACTAATTTCAATGGATTATAGTTCGATAGTATCAACTTAACAATACACTGAATATCAGAAAAAAAATTAGGAAAAATCATGATACAAATTCATGAACTTATCGTCTTCACTGAAGGTCAGGGTAGTTGCAGTGGCTTGGCTTGTTTCTTCTGCGCACAGAGCACTTATGGTTTCAGGCGAATCACGATCGTGTTTACTGTTTTGAGTATGCGCTACCTGGATATGTTAGGGAACATCTACCAGTGTGGCTAAATAAAGGTGTAATTAGAAGTATCAATAGCTTGCTGTTAGAACACCTGTGGAGTATGTCACAATATGATTGTAAGTGTTTTTGCTAAATGTTCAAATTAGAGACACTGTACATGACTTTTGTTTAGAACGATTCATTTTAGAATAAAGATAACTTCCGAGTACAATCAAAAATACAGTATGCTGTTGGTCGCTTCGTCTTCTCACTGCTTTATACTCTCTATTTGCTCTACTTACAACCGTGTTGTATACTTTGGATTTATTGTAGAAACCTATTATCCTCATCGGAAAACAGTTCTACAACCGGTACACAACTTCTACCAACATACACAATTCCAGCAGTGAACGCTTCTGTGTATTATATTAATAATTTTTAGGTGTATATCCATGTAACCGTTTAATTAATATAGCTCATTACTGTATTTCTGGTAATATATTGTTACACTAATATCTCATTAACTTGGATTTTTATTCGCATACATGTTATGTTAATGAGCTCGCTAGACAGTCCCCTACACACCTAGTCCAAACCGATCACAAAGCTAATACTGAAGAGTCCTTCTCCATCATTTATCAGGTGTTAACCAAACTGCCAAAATAATCCAGGTACTGTGTGCTTCAAACAGCAGAAGTTATCGCGATTCTCCCGAAAAAAACAAGTGCTATGTGTGCAGAAGAAGCAAGTCCAGCCAGTCATCATTATTGCCCCTGGCCTTCTGTGGAGCTTATATGTTCATGAATTCTGTACAATCTGTAGGTCCAATCCTAGCTGATGTTTTTCCTCGCTAAGTTAGAGAATGGACCACTGAAAGGAGTAATTAATGACTTGAATTTCTACTGTCGATATATATGGATGATACATTTCTGGTTATTAAAAACGAGAATGATGCAATGAACATGCTTGACAACTTTAATGATGCCCATTCAGCAATAAACTTTACCATAGAGAAAGAAAGTAACGACAGTATCTCATTCCTAGACGTCTTCATGACAAGGAAAGAAGATGGCACACTAAGAAGGAGTGTGTATAGGAAACCTACAACAACAGGTCAGTACACTCATTTTTTGAGTTTTATACCTTTGAAATATAAACGTAACCTGGTAAAGTGTCTGGTTCATAAAGCTAGGTTAATCTGTTCAGACGACTGTTTCAATGAGCAGCTTAAGATTATTAGAGAATTACTTAGAAAAAATGGTTATCCAGATAAATTCATTGAGAAAAATATGAATTCAGCACCCAGGAGAGTCAGTATGGCACCAGTTCTGAAAAAACCACCGTTCATAAAACTGCAGTTCCTCGATGACAATATCAGCGAAATAATAACACAGCGCCTGAAAAGTGCAGTTAAAACAGCTTATTATGCAGCAGAGGTACGTTGTCTCTTTACAATCACCCCTATTCTACTTTTAAGAAATAAGGACAAACTACCTGAATTTGCCTCCTATGGGTGTATCTACCAGTTTGACTGCAGCTCCGTAGCCAGCTACATTCGGCGTACAATTAGGCAGGTTCATCATCGTATTTCCGAACATCATCCAACATGCTTAAGTAAGGGACAAACAAGATATATTCATAGCTCTATTTTAGCACACCTTGTAGATAGTGAGCATAAGGTTGACGTTAATACAACATTTAAAATTATTTATCGCATTCCTACTAATCTTAATTTTGCTTTACGAGTTCGTCTTCTACATACAGCTGAAGCAATAGGAATCCACCTTAAGAAGCCAAACCTGTGCCCGTTTAGAAGAAATTTGTACAGCCACTTTCCTTACCCTGGCCATCGTTACATGTATGTATCAACAGGACTACTTCGCCCCCTCCCCCTAAACCTTTAAAATTATAAAAATTATGATTGTCCAAATTATCTTATGTTATTTTTTTATTTATTTTGACCACTTCATCTTTAATTTACGTGTTATCCTTGTAAAATTAATTTATTCTAACCATTTCTACCTCTTAAATGTGTATTGATTTTCTTTGTTAATTATCACCCCCGTTTGACATTTTGACACTGACTAATTATCGTTAACAAACATATCAGTGCCACTTGATTGGTAAATTGTTGTATTGTAATTAAAATGCTATACGTGTATATTAGAGTAGAGCCAGAGATGAGGATCTAACTGAAAAGTAGATATTTCTTCGCTCACTGTTTCTGTTTTCTAAATGTCTAAATGGAGATTTTTTCTATTTTGAATTCTGTACTAATACTTTGCCTAATTTTTCTGATATTGAATGTATTTTTATGTTGATGCTGTCGAACTGTAATCCATTGACATTATTATTGATAATAATAATAATAATGATTTACTTTATTCCAAAAACAGTACTTGTGATACAGAATGGAATTTTCAGCATTAATCACAATATTGCATCTAATTTCCTCAAATTATAAATAAAATTAATCACACAGAAAATTTTCCACATTTACAATAGAGGTAGTGTCAAAAACATGCAGCATATAAAATGGAAATAGCAATAATAATGATAACAGCTAGGGTAATAATAATAAGAATACAAGTGAAAATTGCCGTTGGCTTGTGTCACACAGTATTGGCAATGTGGTATAGAAATCCTAACATGTTTAAAAATATTGAATATAATGTTCTCTTTACATGATATGGTGAAGGGAAAAACAAAGATTACAGCCGTCATACAGATAAGTTGGTGTTTGCAATTATGAGAGTAAAACAGAGAAGTAACAGGACCATAAATATAATAGAAGTAATAAAAGTAAAACTTGAAGGTATATAAGGATGGATGGAGGAAATTGTTTATTTACTAGATGAAAAAGGTTAGTTAATTCTTGCCTGACACTATTTTCATCACATAAAATACGTGCCAAGTATGGTATCATAGAATTCTTATACTTAGACGTGCGAGCATACAGTTTTCTGAAGTTACTCCTTGTTCTACCTGAGGAGATGCAAGGTGAAAGCTGAGGGTAAAGCGGATGCTCCAAGTCAGACAAAATCCCTTTAGCAAATTTATTGCACGAAGTCAAGTGCCTATCGACAACGACGTTAACTATGTGGTCCACTGGGACACCACTCACCCTACTGACAGTCTTCAGTATTCTACGAATTGTGACATAGTCTTTTTTAAGCAAACCAGGAAAGAATAAGGGTGAGCAATAAAGAAGAATAGGTAGGATGCAAGAGTTTACGAACTGTAAGATGAGGGGTTGAGTTATACCCGAGTGTCTTAACTTCTTAATGTAAAATGTCAAGCGGAATATTTTACTAGAGATTGCTAAGACATGGGAAGACCAGGAGAGATCAGAAGAGAGAATGAATCCAAGATACTTAATTTCTGATTTCATTCCTATATCATTGTCGTCAATTTTACAACTGTCATGAGAATCGATGACTTCTTTTAACTGTCTTTTACATCTTAAGCTGAAATCAACAGTTTGACACTTGGAAGGATTCAGTTCAAGACCGTTAGACTCAGACCATTTGCTGACTTCCGATAGAAAGTACAATCATCAGCGTACTTCACAAAGTTTATTTCATCAGAGTGAGGCAAGTCATGCAAGAAGAAAGAAAAAAGAAAAGGAGAAAGAACAGCACCTTGAGGGACACCAGCTTCAGTAGGCAATGAAGTGGAAGACTTCCCTTTATATACGGTGTACTGCTTTCTACCTGAGAAATAGGAATGCAACCAGTTAACAGCCCAACATTCTGTTTGACTAGCAGCAAGTTTATTTAATAAGATGTCCCTAGGGACCGAGTCAAAAGCAGATGTATAGTCTAGGAAGGCGCAACGACCAAATTTAGCCCCCTTGTCTAGACTGGAAGCAATGTTATGATATAACTTACTTACTTTACTTTACTTCGGCTATCTCCTACGGGAGGATGAGCCGGCTTCATGAACGAGTTCATGAAGTTTCTTGGGAATTTGGTACGAGTGATGTCCCCAGCATCGCTCGGCCTTTTGTTTGAGAGTGCAGCTCTAGCCTTTACACAGCCAAGTGTGACCTACAAGGCAGTAGGAGTGGAGTAGGGAGTCCACTATCCATTGGCAGCCGGTGACCGGAGTTCGGTTCATACGCCTTTTTGAATGGCGCCAGACATCCAGGACATCCAACAAGCCCTTTGTCCATACGTCTGCCGGTGAGCTTCATACGCCAGTCGTTGAAGGTTTGGAATCAGGGTTTAGCCATCTCCCCTAGACTGTCATCCAATGGACAGTCAACCCGGTGGAGAGCGCCGGGCATCCGCTTTTGCCCTCACGCTTTAGTGAGAAACACCTCCGCCACGTGAAGGCAGTGAGTAGGACTTCCTCAGGAGAGGCTATGTAAGACGCACGGTCATATGGGAGCATTTCAAGAGGTGTGCGGAGGGGTGGCCAACCCGCAGCGCAAGACACCCACCCCCGACCATCCTGAGGCTTTGTTATGATATAAGACGGCAGCTGTATCTAAAGTGCTTCTACTGTGCTTATAGGCAAATTGTTTAGGGTCATTAAAGGATTTAAGCGAAGGTACAAGACTAAGTAAAAGTAATTTCTCCATAGTTTTCAAAAAAGGAGATGTAATAGCAATGGGTCTAAATTTGACACATGCTCCAGTAGAAGATTTAGGTATGGTTACAACTTTAATGTCCTTCCAAACGGCAGGCACAATATTATCGGAAAAAGATTTGTTAAATAGATCAGTAAGAGGGTGACACAGAATATCAGAACATTTTTAAAAAATAATACTAGGTACATAATCGGGATCTAAGCTCTGGGAAGGGTTTAGAGACTTGAGGCACTTTTGAACATCATTTGTGTTAAAACCTGGAAAGGGGCTATTATTAACACAAGTGATGCTGGGAAGCATGGCATTTGGGGGAGAGTAAATAAAAGATTTGTTAAGAGTACATACATCAAAAGAATATGGAATATTGTTTATCTGCTTACCACCAGTGATTTCCTCAAATAGTTTCCACATATTAGAAGGATTTTTGCAGGATATGAATTTCTGGTTATATATTACATTCAACCTCTGCATTTCAGACTTAATTAAGAAGTTAGTTCTTTTTACACCACTTTTATCTTTCATCTTATACAGTTTTACGAGCTTCGTATATTCCAGAATCATTTATAAATACTAAATCAAGTGAAGTATTTTGTCGAGTTGGGAAATTAACAACATTTTCATGGCCCAGCAATGTAATAAAACTGCAGTCGCTGGAGTTGAAGTCGCCGGTCACTATAGATAAGGAGTTACCAAACGAAGCAGCAGCAAAAATAGTGAATTCATCAGCGAAGATATATAGTTCTGAGGAACTGCAACAAGGTGTGATATAGATATTTGTGATTTGATGTTGTTAACGATAAAAATCCATTCACTCCTATGTATGTATAAGTGTAGAACCTGATGAAGACCAGGTTATCGAAAATGTCAATATTCTATGTTCAGTAACCATTCTTTTGAAAAGATTACATTTTTGCTAACACACTGACTACCCTCTAAGCTAAATATTTTAACTGGAATGCATTCATTGTTCTTCCTAGACAAAATTAAGTCAGCACTGATGGTGCTGTCTAGGCAGACAACGAAAGTTTCGCAGTTAAATCGTCTTACTGAGAGGCTGAGGCAAAAATAGCAACAACAACAACAACCACAACGTCAAAAACATCCACCTAAGTGGGGAAAAATGGTAAAACTCACCTGACTAGTCGATATTTCTATACAATAAATCTTTGAATCATCGCAGGCTGCCAAAATATATTCACCACTCAAGTCAACAACCAACTGATTCACTCCAACTTTATTCGACTGTTGCCGGTGCTGATATTGTTGATCACTATGCGGTTGATGTTCAGAATGTTGTTGTTTCCCTGGAATTTGTGTACGGTTATGACGATGACGACGTGATTGATCTGGCTTTCTACTGCATTTATTCAAATCGAATAAAGTTGGCAATGTTTTCGTCTCGTCCTCATTGATACTATTATTACTATTATGGGTATTATTATTAGTAGTAGTATTAGCGGTGGTAGATAGTTGTGTGCCTTTTGTTACTGAAGGTAAATTTATACCGAAGGTGAAATTATTCAACTTTCTTAAATCCCAAAGTCGTATAAAGCCACCAGTATCACATGATATAACATAAGTACCTTGTTGATTGAATATAGCATGATTGATTGAATGGGTATGTCCAAGAAATGTATGTTCACATAGACCCTTTAGTATAATGAAATTAAAACAAACCACACACACAGAGAGAGGAAGTTTTGATCAATGTTAGTACATTCAATGAATTTGAAATAATAACCAAATATACCGCCCATCTACTCTGAGAAGCGGGAGCTTTAAAAAAGTTCAACCTCAAGGAGTGTACGTTGCCACTTACCTTGTGGCGATTTGTAGTTGGAAGGGAGGTTTTCATGGAGAAGTACAACAATAGCGTCCTAGGAGTGCGAACCCTCAAATCGCCTTGAACGCCTTCTAGTCGTTAGCTAAAGAAAGCTACGATTATTCTAGCGTAACAATGAACACTGTTCATGAGCTCAGGTGCAAATTTCAACCAGATCACGGTTTTAAATACTGTCTAGAAAATGGATTGATAGGATGTAGTCGTATATGTACTTGTGGTGCTTCAACGAGCCTTCAGCCGTATTTACAAGTCATTGATGAATTTAGATGTACGGAGTGTAGGAAACGAACGAGTGTTCGTACTGGTAAGTGAAACTCTCAATTAATTGTCTTCTAGGAACTTTCTTTGCAAAATCGAAACTTTCTTTCATGAATATGCTGTTTCTTTGCCATTTCTGGATTTTGAAGTTCAGAGTGAGGTCAAAAGCTACTCAGAAGGAAAATATGTTGACGTCAACTGTGCAGGGGTTTCAGTTTTGTCGAGATTTAGCCTCATGGAAAATGAACAATATTACACAAGTATTGGGAGGAGTCGGTGTTATCATTTTTACATCGATGAAACAGTGCTTATAAAGGAGAAATACAATCGCAGACATGCTAGAGCTAACAACGTTTGGCTACTGGGAATTTATGACACCCAAATTCAGAAGGAATTGATTGAACTTATTCCAGACAGGAGTACCGACACTCTTCTGCCTATTATTCAGAAACTCGTTTAGCCTGGAACTACTGTACTCAGGGATGAATGAGCAGGACATAACCACTTATCGGATTTAGGATATATACACAATCGAGATAGCCATTCTGATGATTTTGTCGATTCCACAACATGCACTCGTACTAATTCAATAGAGGGTTTCTGGGGAAGAGTATAAAATAGGATAAGAGCAATAAATAGCTCTCAAAACCAAGTTATTTTCAGTCATCTGGATGAATACATGTATAGAAATTGGTTTAATTTAAAAGCTGACACTCCCCATTATAACTGGGACATATTTTTATCTCATATTCGAGAAAAATCCCGTGTTTAATGTTTTTTTTCATACATTTTTATGTAAATATACGTAATGTTATGTTCAAAAATCCCTCATTTTTCTGATTGGTCGGCTCACGGTCACTCGTGCGTTCGCATCCCTTGGGACGCTATTGTAGAAATTTGGCGTTTTCATATAAGGACAACTCCGAAAATTACTTCACTACCGGAAATCACCATCTACCATCCACTACAGAAAGGTTTGAATTTCAATATTACTAGAAAGCCATTATCGATTCAGGAAGTATTAACTGTGGTGGAACCTGCTCTACAACTGATCACCAATGAAGAATCCCAATCTGTACGTGAAAAGATATCACGCATACTAATGGCACAACGAAACATACCATCTAATCTCAACAAATAAGAATATGAGGACCTAAGATTTCTGATAAAAAGACAAAAGCATCGTTATAACAAAGGCCGACTCCACTGTGGTAATGAACAGGATTGACTATGAAAAGAAGGCGATTGAACACCTATCTGAAGGACCATACTTACTCATTGAAGAAAAGAAGAAATCTGCGTAATTCAACAAAGTAAAACTAAATGCAGACAGACTCCTTCAAGAAATGAAACCAAAATTTGCAAATTCCCTTTGGTTTAAACTAAAACCAAAATCCTATGTACTTTCAAGATTCTACCGTCAGTCAAAGGTACATAAACCCAAAGTTCCATTAAGAACAGTAGTGGATTTTACCAACTCACCGACATTTAACCTCTCCAAGTACTTATTTTCGATGCTGAAACCACTGCTAAAGGACACTCAAAATGTTATGAAAGATTCGTATTATTTCAAATGCCCAATAGATAAAAGATATTATGGTAAACTATGATATTAAGTCATTATATGCCAGTATTCCCATTACCGAAAGTCTTGATATCATTTCCAGTCTACTAGAATCAGATAAAGCTCTATCACAGTAACGTCCACTGGACACCAGTGAAATAATTATGAGCCTAAAATTTTGTCTGGAAACTAATTATTTTACATTTAAAGGGAGTTTATATAGACAGACAAATGGTGTTGCTATGAGTTCACCAGTTTCCTCAATAGTCGCTAACCTTTTTATGAATAGATTCGAAGATAACATCTTTTCAAGTATACTCACTCCTATAATATGGTGAAAATATGTAGATGATCCTGTAGTAGTTCTAAGACCAGATCTACACAGTTAATTCTTGGAGAAACTGAATACTCTATCTTCCAGAATCCAATTAATCTTGGAAGCAGAATCAGACGTCAGTGAACTACCATTTCTAGACTGCCTAGTTAAGAGGAGGGAAAACGGATATTTCAACATATCCATATTCATGAAGAAAACATGCTCCAACAAATATTTAGACTTCGGATCATCACATCTCATCAGCGCAAAGGTGTTATTTGTTTCAAGTCTTCTTAGATGAGCACACTCTCCGATGTTAACTGATGAGAAGGAACAAGAAGAAGAAACACTACTGAGCTCTCAAGCAAAACAACTTTCCAAGGAACTTCGTCAACAAAATCAACACTGACATTAAGTATGGTCGAAAACGTATTCCTAAAACATGGACCCCAGCAGTTGTCAATCCATATACAGCAGAGACGCCAGACGACATCAGAAGAATACTCAATAAGCACAAGATCAGAGTTTTCTTCAAAACACTAAACACACAACAAAGCAACCTTGTCCCTATAAATGACCAAACCCTTGAGGATTCTCTATCCAGTTGTGTCTTTAAAATAAGTTGCTTGTAATGTGATGTGATATACAAATGCCAAAGGTCATCAGAGAGAAATCAAAATCGGAAGAAATGAACACCATAGGGCATCTGTTTGACCAGTGAGATATCCAGTTGATGAACTGTAAAAGCTTGAAAAATTATCAGCCATAGGCGGTCTACACGCTATAGAATCAGGCGGCAAAATTGATTTTGACAATAGTGAAATAATCTAGAAAAAGCATTTCAGAAGTCACAAAGAACGTCCCATTTCATCAGAAGTAATTCATATCAAATGGAATCCAAATTGTCTGGTGAATAGGAGTGATGATGGACTAAAACAGAATTTGGGTGTTTTTAGTTCATATATTCGCATTTGAGCATTGCGATGAAATCTATGAAGTAAGAAGTCTTTAGTTCTGGTCAGTAGCTGGTTGTTCTGTGGCTGACTTCAGTTCCTGATAACAGCTACGTTTCACGGCGAATTGTCTGAGTGTAAGCGTTAAACTTACCTTTTACATATATGAGTGAAAGTAACATAATGACGCTGATGTTATTAGATGGTTGGAGGTAATCGACAGGAAGCCTTGCTCGACTTATGTTTCATGCTTGATAGCATTCATCAGTCAGCATGGAGTATCTGCAACCTGGAAGTAACTAATGTCCCTTCTGAAATTCGAACATATATCATTCAGCGCTGAAGTTAGAGACGTTGCCGCTGAGGCAGCTATTCAGGCTCTCGATTGAACTCCTGTAAAACTGTATTAGATGCTTTGATTGGAAAATAAGTAGTGTCATCTGTCTAGGCCTTTGCTTGGTGCAGACTGAATTCTACCACTCAGGCTTGCAATATGGACATCATGTTAGGTGGCTCGACGTCCAGGTGCATTGTGACAATTTAACTTAGGATACTTTGCAGCTAATCAATAAATTTACACTGGGATGTAACAAGAATGTTTAGTAATACAAAGGAAACTGAGTCATTTCAAATGGTTGATAGAAATCTTCAAATCTATCTTTCTCTTCTTTGAGAGAATTCGAAGACCTAGTTCGTAGTACTGTAACGACAGAAGACAAAAGCCAGCCAAACAGGTCGGTTATTGAAGAAATCAACAGATATTCATAGATTTTAGGTACATTATTATTAGCCTTATTATTAGCAGTGAAACAGCGTCTTTTGATTGGTTATTTTCTCTCTGAAAGTTCTTCTGTCATCTCTGTGGCCATTTATCTGAAGGTTAGACCATATACCTTTTCGAAATGTATCCGTCCACGCTAAGTCTACTGTGATTGGTTGTTTAGCTGGTCTTTGTTCTTGTTTTTCTCATGACCAAGATATGGGACGTAAACACTGACGAAAATTGCTGTCTACCATTTGGCTAGCACACAGCTCTCACCACAGTAGGAACTATTCAAATGCAAGATCCTTGCTAGGGAGAAATCGAAACCTTTTTATTCCTGCTTATTAAGGATTAACTATTGTATGAAATTTCTAGAGTGCTAACAAGAAGATGTGACACGACGTTCACTATGTCGTCTGTGAGATTAAATAGTATCCATTGGAAATGGATTGCTGCTTTGCCTAGAAGTAACTTAGAATTCAACAGTTAGTACAGTATGTTCGATTTGTAATCTGACGGTACTGAGTTGGATCTCCGTAGAAATCATAAGTTTACATTTTTGAAGACTCTCTAAATGGGACGAAACGTCTGTTCACTTCCCCTTGTTTTCCACTGACTCTATAGGTGATAAAATCCGACTCGAATTCGATATTCAGAAGGGAAACGAGTATTAATTCCCCTCTGAAGAGAGAGAACCACTGGAAAACCGGCTGTGAGTACTGGACAGCTGTTTTGTCAGCCTAGTTTTGGACTCTTCATCAGCACGCACCCTATATAAGTTTCGATAATAATAATAAGAAGAAGAAGAATAAATTCAATCAGTTGTGCTTACCGTACGGCCATCCCATAAGGAGACTGTTCTATCAGATGAACCTGTGACCAATATATTTCCATATGGTACAAATTGTACTGAATTCACAGATTTACTATGTCCTCTTAAGATTGTACAACATGATCCACAAGAATATGAATTCATCAAACCTTTATTCATTGTTGCATACGCCAGTGTAGCATATTCAACATTCCACAGACGTATTGTATTATCCATACCACAACTGGCTAAATAATTGCCACACCAATGCCAATTGATTGACCACACAGCACCTGCATGTTGTCTTAGCAGGCCGATTCGTTTAGTGTTGTTTTGGCTGGATTCCTCTTCTCCAAGTTGAATTTTCCAAATCTGTGATTAGAAATAAAAAGAATTAACAGGTAACAGATTAGAGCACGGTTTACAACTTGTTGTGATGAGCATATAGTGGTACATGAGACTATTAGTACATAAAGTGATAAGGAATTTAAGTCTGTGTGGAGATCAACAGCACTCAGTATGAAAAATAAGGTCCAGCTTTTCGACTCTAATGGGAAATCAGTGCTACTATACGGATCAGAGACTTGGTGCCGCGTCACGAAGAGCACTTCGAACAAACTACAGACCCTCATCAACAGCCGTCTTCGCTCAGTACTACTGTGATGAGAGCTGTCTGCTAGCCAAAATTGGTAGACAGCCATTTACGTCAATGTTTATGTTCCAAAGAAGAAGAACAAAGACTTACTCAACAACCAATCACAGCAGACTTAACGTGGGCGGATACGATTCGAAGATACACGACCGGACTGTCTAAGAAGCGGCAACAAAGAGATGACAGAATAACCTTCAGCAAGAAAACAATCAATCAGAAGACGATGTTTCTCTGCTAACAATAACCCTAATAATCATGTACATAAAAATCGATAAATATCTGTTGATTTCCTCAATAAACGATCTGTTTGGCTGGCCCTTATCTTCTGTCGTTACATTACTCAAGATCAGATGGTCAGGAAAGATCAGCAACAGGGATGGATCTCTGGTAGTGGGCGAACTAACAAACCCAGCAGGGACCAGTTGTACAACAAATGGATGTGGATTAGCCATTCTGAGAAAACAAAACATCAAGTGACATCACACGCCAGAACATCGGTCGAGTGGAACCGGAACAGGAATTGGCGGGTTGGTTGGTAGTCAGTGGGAGGGTGACATAAAGGAGGTCATGTGAAGAGGAGATGAAAGCATGTGGGCAGACGTGAAGATGGGTGAAAACGCTGTCGGAGAACCGAGAGTAATAGAGACGTGTGAGTGAATCCTTATGTCCCTCTAGGAATTAAAGGAAACAATAATAATAATAATACGGAATTTAAAGGCTCGGTAGTGATGCTATATAACAAAGAAACATGATAAGCCTGGTGTAGGATTCTGAATAAATCTAGAATTAAGTCAGCATTAAAAACCCACCTGTGGTGAGAGCTGGCTGTTAGTCAAAATTGGTGGACAGTAACTTACGTCAATGTTTATGTCCCCAATATTAGTCGTGAGAAAAATGAGAACAAAGGCTTTGCGTAGGCAGATACAGTTAACATATAGATGATCTGATATTCAAGAAACAGCCACAAAGAGATGCAAGGTTAACTTTCTGTGAGAAACAACCAATCAGAAGACTGTGTTCTTCTGCTAACAATAATCTTTAATATGTACATGAAAATCTATAAATATGTGTTGATTTCCTTAATAAACGATCTGTTGCCTGGCCCTTGTCTTCTGTTGTTACAAACCGAAAAACTCACTCAGAAACATAAGTTGTTGGCTTAAGGACCTAAGAAATCCAATTAAGAAAAATCGTATACAAGTATTGGTTTATAGAGATTTGAGTGATTCGTTACAGGATTTCATCATGAGCTGACATCGGTTAGAGAACCATTGGAAAAACACATGAGAGTACCACCAGACAACCGCTTCGTCCTAGTTTGGGACTCTTCAGCAGTACACTTCAAACCCCGGTGAGTGCGTACTGATGAAGAGTTCCAAACTAGGGCGAAACAGCTTTCTGGTAGTACTCCCATGTGATTTTCCAATGGTTCTCTAACCGATGTCAGCTCATGATAAAACCCTGTAACCAAAAAATCATATAGTTTACCAAATACCATACAATGACTGTGGGGTCAATTGAATATGTCAGTCTAGTAGATCACTGTCGATTTGGTTATCAGAATATGGACATCTAGTTAGAGCTAGAATGACTGACCCTAGACAAATTGACGGCTATTACAGCAAAATTCATTTGCATACATTCATACAATTTTGATTAATTTCCATGAAGAGGTTCGGATCAGTTTGCTGAACGAAACGTTCCAATTAATTATTTCAATTTCACTGAGATTTTACAAATATTATTTTTACAAATTTCTACTTTTCATTCGGCGCTCAATTATTTGGGAATTATTCGGTCAAATCTTGATCACAGTTCATATGAATTATTTTGCAATCGAATTAAATTAACAAAGAAACTCTGTAATTGGTACAGTCATCGTGTTTTCGAACTCATTTGTCTGCAACAGAATGTATATCCTAATTCCGTAGCCGTCAAGTCACCTGACAACTCCAGTAGGTCGAATAAAGCAGCTCAATCTTCAGAAAGAAGACAAAGCAATAAGTTCGACAAGGCGCTTCAACTAAACTCTAATCGTAAACACCACCATTTTGAAAATACCTCTAATCATAAAATTCTAGATGCTAACAGTTTGAACAGACATGAAGGTGTGATCCGCAAGAGCAAGTGGCCAAATGCGACAGCTTGTCTTTCACGTTCTGGCTGAGCAGTTTCTTGCAGGCAAACGTCAGTCGTGGGGTCTTGGTGAAGTATGTTTCCCTCAGAGATTTGGAGAGGCGTTTACGAAGGATTTCTGCTTCAATGTCACTTTTGAATTCTAGATTAATCAGAAGTATCTTCTTCGGACGGATTGGAATTGTTCGGAGGTTTTCTTTGATTTGAGATTCTTGTCTATGAACCTACGCAGAAAACCGTTTTCCACCAGGGTTCCTCAGAGGTTACTCAGTTCTTCATCAGTCACTTCTTCACTGCATATCTTACGAATCCTCGAGGAAAGAGCACCTTTTAGGTTCTTCCTTCTGCTTAGGGGCACGAAGTTTTGAAAGTTGATGAATTGTCCATTTCATGTAGGCTTTTTGTATATGGACCTTTCCAGAGATCTGTTGGCGTTTCTTGTCAGATGGACGTCGAGGAGGTGGAACATTCCGTTGGACTCAGCTTCAAGAGCCTATTAATTCCAAATTGTAACTTTATTAATTTGATTCTTGATAGGAAATTATCCTGGAACTTTATCACAAATACGCGAATGTGCAGCCTAGTTAATGACTTCGTCGAAAAGAAAATGGTGCTTTGCATGTGAGGGTAGGAGATTTTATATTCAAATGGTTAGACAAATGAATGAACTGTGGAACTTCAACACACACACACAAGTGACAGACTAACAAGTTCATGTATAGCTGAACAATTAACTGCTTTGAACCACAAGACTGATATTAAAGCAGGTTTCGAGATTATTTATATAAGCCATCAGGGGAGCTTGATGTAATACACAGAGTCGATATCTATTCGCAAAACCTAAGCCCCCACCCATGTCTGCACAAAAACAATTTATTATTATTATCCATAACTTACCATACTAATTCTTAACTGATTAAATTACCACTTGGGTTCAAGTCTGCCCACATGCTTTCATCTCCTCTTCACATGACCTCCTCCAAGTCACCCTTGGACGACCAACTCACCGCTTCCCTTTCAGGTTCCACTCGAACGATGGCTTGTCTAGTGATGTCACTTGATGGTTTGTTTTATCAGCGTATGGCCAGACCATCTCCATTTATTCCTGCCTATTTCTTTCACAATCGGTTCCTGGTTGGTTCGCTCATTACCAGAGATCCCTGTTGCTCATCTTTTCTGACCGACCGTTTGATCTTGAGTGGAGTATTGAGCGAAGACAACTGTTAATGAAGGCCAGAAGTTTGTTTGAGATGCTTTTTATGACGCGCAGTGCAAGTCTCTGATCCGTATAGCAAGTAGCTTTGACTTCCCATTGGAGTCGAAAATCCGGATCTTATTTTTCATGCTGAGTGCTGGTGACCTCCACACAGACTTGTGAGTAATGAAAGCTTGTCTTGCTTTTCCGATCCACGCTGCTTTGATATCTTCGTCAGTTCCGCCTGTAGTTGAAACGATGCTTCCCAGGTAGGTAGGTAGGTAGGAGGTTGTTTCTTTCAGGTTCCTCCCATTTATGCTGAGCCATTGTTGTCTGTTGTTGTTGGTGTTGGCCAAGAATCTTCATCACCTCTGTTTTATCTATGTTCACTTGAAGTTCTATATTTGATGCTTCTTCTGCCAGACTGCTGGTTTTCACTTGCAAATCTTCCAGTTTGTGGGAAATCAGACATATATCATCGGTGGAGTCCAGATCTTCCAAGTTCTTTTTGTGTGAGTCCATTTTATGCCTGTTTCCTCGCTGCTCGTCACTGTCTGTCGCATTATCCAATCTACTGCAATCAGGAAAATCATTGGCGATAATACACAGCCTCTCCTCACTCCCGTCCTCACTTCGAAGGCTTCCGTAAGTTTCCTGTTGTGGATTACTTGGCATACAGCATTGTCGTATAGCTGTTGGATGAGATGTATAATTGTCGATGGCACCCCGTAGTAGCGAAGTAGTTGCCAAATCACCTCTCGATCTACACTGTCTGTGGAGGGCCTTTTCAAAGTCGATGAAGTTGAGATAGAGAGGTGACTGACGGCCATCCAAAGCTTTGTTCAATGATGATCCGTAGAGTGGCGATTTGTTCAATACATGACTTCTTTCTCCTGAATCCAGCTTGTTTCGGTCGAAGTTTTTCATCCAGGTTGGCGTGTTTGATTCTCTCCAGGATGATGCGGCTTAGTATTTTACTTGGAATAGACAGGAGCACAATTCCGCGCCAGTTTTTACATTGACTTAAATCTCCTTTCTTTGGCAGTTTGAATAAGTATCCTTCCTTCCAATCCTCGGGTACTTTGCCCTCTTTCCGCACCTTCTCAAGTTGTGTCGTCATCAAGTTCGCTGTTGTCTCTGGGTCCATTTTCAATGCTTCAGCTGGGATTCCATCTGGTCCTGCTGCTTTTCCAGCTTTTAGCATCTTGGTTGCATTAAGGACTTCTGATTTCGTCGGGGTGTCGATGTTCACTGGTAGTTCGGCTTCCAAAATATGAGAAGGTAGAATTTTTCATTCTTGAAAACAATTACTGATTTAAAATAACAAATGGGACAAGTGAAGTAATACTGAAAACCTTTATTATAATGAATATCATATACCCAATGCCCAAATTTTTTTAAACCGTTAAACGTGAACTTGGTATGGAGATATATAATACTGGAAACAGTTCAGAATGAGAATAATAATGATAATAATCGTACTAATCAGAGAAAGGTACACGGACTAAATAAACAAAAGGAAGAATAAATAAGTGTTTATCCCCTCTACGATCACCGTAGGATATATGTGTAAAACTTGGGTACTGTGGTAGTAAGTAATTCCGTATTACTTTGTTTATTAGATGTATCACACAGTCAGTGAAACAGTATTATTTTTTACTGGATGATGGGATTTCGAACACAATTTATTTCTGTTCGTAATCATATTAATTATAAACACACATGACTTCGAAACTTGAGTTTCATAGTTTTCTTTGTCCTCTCCTATTTGTCATCCTTTGGGGTAGTAGAATTTTCCAAATATCTGGGTTGACAGGTGTTGAGTCATTCCTATTACACGTATTCTCTCTCAATTGATTCGATAAACAAAGCTTCTGTTATCAGTCTCTCCCTATACCCTGTGACATTATATTTTAAAACCATCATCCTATTGTCTGGTTGTATATACTTGCATGTAGCGAGTGCTATAGCTGAACTATTCTCTAGATTTCTTCGGTGGCACAGTGGTTAGGACTCTCGCCGACCATGCACATGCTCCGGGGTTCGAGCCCGCACCGACGCACACCTGATATTTATGGTCGGCCTGCAAAATTTGGGCTACCGATATCCATGCTGAAAATTCCATACTTGTACCGAAAATACAGTGTGGAATCAAGCTGTAAATCAAAAATTAAAAAAATTAAATTAAATCTATTTCGGGTCAACAAATTTACATTTTGGTAAGTTTTCGTGCTCCGCTAGTCTCACTGACTGCCCCTGTTCTACTAGTTTGACCTATGTGTTTGACCTGACAGTCATTCCAGTAGGGTATTAGATAAACTAGATTTAATATATTAATTATTCGCATAGTAAAATTTAGAACAACACATTTAAGGGAAGGAAATGAAACACGTTTATAATGAACGTGTTTCATTTACTTTCCTTACAATCTAACATTACGTAATCGGTTCATTTGTTTTTACTAGCCTTTATCGACTACTTCCACCTGAACAATTATTTGTTTAATCATACTGTTTTTCATTATTCGTGTTATCACAGATTGCCTCACTTTTTCATCCTTATTATTGATATGACCATTATTATTATTATTGCTATTACCAATATTATTATTACTATCATGACTAATTGCTCAATTTATATTTACCATCGTATTATCCTATATAAAAGACACCATGATTGTTTAATTTATATAAGTATAAAACATGGGCGCTGTGGTAGAGTATATCTCCAATATATATATAAATGAAAGAAAAAAGTTGTATGAGTAACTTGATATGATTATGAATGGCAATAGTTTGTGCTCGAAACGTCATCAGTTAATATAACTGTACAACACTGTGTGATTTATCAAAATAAAATCTTATCCATAATGATTGGTTTATATTTGAATTTTTATTTGTAAACTTATATAAACTAAACTGTTTTGTTTTAAAGGCTCCATAAGATCCTTTAACCGACAAAGCTTGTTTCTAATTAAGTGTGTGTGTGGGTTTGAATGCCAACCACTTTTATTCCTGCCTTGTTAAGAATTCTGTGTAAGGCTTCCGAGGTTCCCTCCTTGTATGGAATTACTACTAATCATTTAGATTCCTTATCGTTGGTGTCGCCATTAATATTATTATTATTATCACTATCACTGCTATCATTATTTATTTTATTTTTACATTTCCTACATATTTCCTTACTAAATTATCAGGGTAATTATTAAATTTCAAGGCTTCTTTTTATGTGTATCACTTCCTGTCTTAGATTTTCTTCGGTACTACTTAGTTTTTGTGCTCTGCAACTTAAACATTTAACCAATCCTATTTTTACTAACATAGGATGGAATGACCGGAGTCCATCGGATCACCGGAGAAATACAGACTGTACATACTTCTTGATATATGTGTGTTGGCGTGATGCAGACAATGAGTTCCAACAGAATATTACTCTCACATATTCCCAAAGTTCAATTCGGTATTAGAAACAAAATACAATATAATCTATTTGATGTTAGAGTCAGAATGTTATTCTCATAACTTATACTATATTGGCAACAGTATACTATTTCTGTATTTCAACATTCTATTTGATGTCCTTTGATGTAAGCCAAAATCACACACGCTCAGTGACTGGTTAAAGAATATAGACTGTACATATATAAACAGCGGTTTGATCAATGAAAAATATTTACTATACAATTGGTGGATGGTGGCTAGCAGTGGAATCCAGGATAAAGCGCATTTCATCCTATTTGGGACTCGTCATCTTGATGTACCTGCATTTCTCAGTGAGTGACTTGGCATCTGTCAATGAAATCCACAACAGTTGGTCTAAGCCACGTAGAAAGGTGTAGACTTCCAGGCTGGGGTCCTCGGGACGGTAAAAATCTATGGTTGGAAACAATTGGTGACATGGCTCAAAATCGTTCTCCGTGGCGCAGATGCATCCACTCCTTGTGACTTATGATCTCCAATGAAATTGTTTTGTATTTCTTTATTACTCCTTTGTCTCACACCTCTGCTCACTGTTTCTATTATGCTTTTCTTGTACTTTCTTCTCTTGCTTCGCGTGCTACACGGAATGTGGCGACTTGAACTTCCGCACATTTGTGCAAGTTCTATGTCGAAAACAGATAGACAGAGACAGTGAGTGATGATATTCCCACCGAGGCTCGAACCCAGTACCCATAGTTTCAAACGCCAAAGCTAACGAGTCCCAAATAGGACGAAATGCGCATCCTCGCTGGATTCCACTGCTAGCCACCATCCACCAATTGTATACTAATTAAATACCCAGACATCGTCGAAGCACCTGCACAAGAAGCCGACAGACATGTCAACCTGAGACCGAGCACTTCGGTCCAATCAATCGACGGGAAAATCAAAAATTCAATTCAATGAAAAATATTTACATTGGTTTCAGTGTTCTGCCTTCTATTGTTACACATAAATATCTAGCCTGAATTCAAGAATGGTCAACGCCTCCTCTTTCTTTCGAACTTACGAGCGAATAAAACTCGGCAAAATTACATGAAGTCGATAAACAATCTTAAAATCATGATCTGGATTGCTTGAGCTATAGAAGTAGAATAAAGCTTCTCACTCCCTGCTTTTTACCCTCGTAATACAACATTGAAATGTGTTTTCGTATCCACGTGGAAACCAGTAGTCAACTAAGTGCATGTAATTTTTATGTGGCTTTAGAGAATAAACTTAAAACTCTGATCACGTTAATATGCACCTCTTTACCCCGCTGAGCCAGTAATAAGACTCGTAAAGAGGTAAGGTTGGGCGTGAGGTGCCTACCAACTCCATCCCGTAAACGTATACACCACTGCTACCGAAACTTCAAAGCTCTAGCTTGAAGCAGCACTATGTTCCACAGGGGACATAATATCGAGATTTAACCAACCGCTAGACCAAAAATCTCGAGAAATAAAGCATTCCACATCAAATCTGAGAAAAAAATTGTTCGTCATCAAGGTCAATATATATATATATTTTTCACAACTCACCTGAATACTGCCTTTACCATTCCCTGTGGCTAGAATTTCATCAGTAGGATGAAAATCAACCGATGATATCCAATCTGTTGTTAGTTTATACTCCATTAAACAGTCCAGTTTTGGAATTTTCCATAATTTCCATGATTTATCGTCACTAATTGAGCATAACCATGATTTGATCGGATGAATAGCCAATCTAACAAAGGTGAATTTTGTTTTTTCATAAAACAAAAGTTAGTTTAGCCTGGTTAATTTAACTTTCTAATTTTAAAAATGGGAATTTTTTAAAGAAATATTGAAGAAGCAAAAATGTTCTTTTTAAAAATTTAAAACATGAAGTTCCTTTTATGAATTTAGATAAAGCAATAAGAAGACATAATTTGTCTGAATTGTGAACTGTATGTATTTGTGTAACGCATTTCGAACAATCCGATCCAGCACACACGGACTTGTCATAAGAATGAGTATATATGAAATTAATAAAGAGTTGAGAGGTGAGAAAATTAACTACTCACGTCAAGTTAAAAAAACATATTGAACGTCGAAATAACAACGAAGATCACTAAACCAAATAACAGAGGTGATAGTACATCTACCCTGGTATGCATCAAAACAAAGTTTATCAAGGAAGGTGTGATGACGAATTGTTGCTTTAAACGCATAGAGATGGTTTAAACTTTCTAATTGCCAGCTAGGGCTTCCACAAATTTAAGGATACGCCTCAAACACGTTTTATATATAGGTTTAAAAGATGTGTAAACGTCGATTTTATGTCCTGCCTCTATGATATGTTTCACAATATAGGAGCTAGGTCTCCTGTTCTCAACATTAATGGGTTCTGAAGATTCCATTTGTTTCTGAAGCCATTTAGGAATATATTCTGAAGCCAACGCTTACTTGCAGAGATCGATGAGTTCTCCCTATGTATGTCTGTCTACACGTACATTCAAATTCGTAAATACAGTGGGTTGTGACATTATTTTCGCATGTTCATAGGGCTTAGATGGATGGATGGATATATTGGCTTCACATTCTCAATTATTATGATATTAGCTGCATAAAAATTCGTCTTTTTGACATCAGCGTTCAGTCTTTGTCTAGTTATGAAGCTGGTAGGATGCCCCATATAGGGTAGGTAGCTTGATGAACACGTCTTTCTTAGGGGCGAGTTGTAGACTGAGTCTTGGTGTTCTAACTACCTTATATCTCCTGATGAGCTTGTCTGGATAATTGTTATCAACCAAAGTTTATGCCACCTTTCTTTCTCCTTCATCAAGTGTGTCTGTCGTTAGTGCATATTCGTTGTGTTTTACTGAAGAGGCACTTTACTAATGCTCTCTTGTGTGTGTGTGATCAGATTGTTCGAAATGTGTTGCACGCGCAAAGACATTACACCATTCAGAAAAATTACGTCTTCTTATTGTTTTATCTAAATATGTTCTGATACCTTAACCGACTGGACCCAATTTGTTTAGATTAATTCTATCTTTACTTTTCCATAGGTTGTGGAATATAGGCCTAGTTACCAGAGTACAACACCTGGCACATTTTCCGACCTGAAGTAGGCGTTTAACTTTGTCGACTGAGAGGTATTGGGACAATTTCTGGCAGTGAAAGAAGTACCAATTGAGTATATTCAACTAATTAAGGCACAAGACTTTATTAGGAGGTATCATCTAAAGTAGTGACAATCACTGGTGTCCTACAGTATCTTCATTTTGGTTAAATTCCATCTAAGATAGAAGCTGTCTTGATTAACTCTAGAGGTTTAGAGAGTAAAGGTGAAAATAGATGGATATGTCACTGTCGAGGTCGCCCTTACTTTTATTTCATTAGGAAGTAAGTTTGGTGTATTTTGTACAAGTATTGATGAAACAGTTTGGATGTAATCGTGTATGGTTTCCTGGTGCCATCTTGATTTGCTGAATGTCCTAATTCCTAACTTTATTTGACTACTGATTATTGGACTGATGTCTGGAGATTTCTCAAGGAATCTTAGAAAAGGTATTCCCATTATATTTTCTCAAATTGCTACTTGACAAGAGAATACACAAACTGGCATAACTATGGGAATCATCAACATCATCTGTCTGTCGCCAATGTTATACAAGCATTAGATGATTTTCCCTGCTGCTACTGAATTCAGAGCGAACTCCAAGATGAAAAGAGAAGTTATATTCATACAAAAGAAAGACCATTTTGATGTAGTTTGTGTTCTCTGAGTTGAATGGTTTATTTGCAAAGTTTTCATCACTGCCCTACTAGACAGTATCTTCAGCGAATACTTCAGTTTGAATTGAAGTGAGATTTTAAATTTCTCCACGAGTTCACTATTAGTCATCTCTCCCAGTGGGTGACCTTGGAAGTGATTGGTTTGTTTTTGTGTGTCTGTTTTTACACCTTCTAGGCTACTTCTATTGGCATTGGTATTGACTGTTTCCTTGATCTGATCTTTTGTGTGTGTGTGAGATTTCCTTTTTATCGATTGGTAAATTTTGTCTATCTCGATGTGTCTATTGCTTGACAATTCACTGGAATATCAGGGTTCTAAAATTCTCTAGCATTCTTAGTGTTTCTTCTGTCTAATATTTGAACGCTGATTGTCCCAGTCATATTGATGTCCGTGGTTGTCTGTGTCTAGTGATATGAGTGAGGGAATGGATGTCATCATTTTTTCTGACTCCTAGTTTATAATCATGGATATGAAGAAGAAGCAAGTTTCACACATAGAGGGTCAAACTTCACGGCAAGGAAACAATCAACACCAATACCCAATATAAGTAGTCTGGAGGGTGGGAAAACACAAAAAAAACAACCAGTCACGTTCAAGGTCGAGTCACCAGGAGAGATGACAAATAAACTAATCTCGATTCAAAGTGAAGTATATTTTGATTTGACACTAGTTACTAGTGTCAAAATCAAAATATCCACTACAGTCCTACAGAAGGTCAATCGCGAGCTCGAATAGTTCAGTGGTAACGTCTCTGACTGCAGCACTGGATGATGCGGGTTCGAATCTCAGAAGGGACATGAGTTCCTTCAGCGTGGTTGCAGATGCGCCTTGTTGACTGATTGGTGAGTGTCAACTAGCACGAAACCTAGGTCTTGTGGCTTCCTGTGGCCGATTGCCGCCAACCATCTAAAACTGAAGTATGCTCTGACGGTGTTGCCTATTAGGGTAGTGATGAAATTTTCGCAAATAAACCCTCCATCCAACTGAAAGAAAACAGCTGCATCAAAAGCCATCTACCTGAGCTACAAATCTTCTCCACCATATCTACAGCAAGGTCATGTATATATTCACAATAATGTATCATTTTGGGGGTTTTCTTGAAAAAGAATAATGTCATAAGACTATATACTATACTGATTTACTATACTATACTGATCCGCTTTACCCTCAGCTTTCACCTTGCATCTCCTCAGGTAGAACAAGGAGTAACTTCAGAAAACTGTATGCTCTCACGTCTAAGTATAAGAATTCTATGATACCATACTTGGCACGTATTTTATGTGATGAAAATAGTATCAGGCAAGAATTAAATAACCTTTCTTCATCTAGTAAATAAACAATTTCCTCCATCCATCCTTATATACTTTCAAGTTTTACTTTTATTACTTCTATTATATTTATGGTCCTGTTACTTCTCTGTTTTGCTCTCATAATTGCAAACACCAACTTATCTGTATGACGGCAGTAATCTTTGTTTTTCCCTTCACCATATCATGTAAAGAGAACATTATGCTCAATATTTTTAAACATGTTAGGATTTCTATACCACATTGCCAATACTGTGTGACACAAGCCAACGGCAATTTTCACTTGTATTCTTATTATTATTATTACCCTAGCTGTTATCATTATTATTGCTATTTCCATTTTATATGCTGCATGTTTTTGACACTACCTCTATTGTAAGTGTGGAAAATTTTCTGTGTGATTAATTTTTATTTACTATAATTTGAGGAAATTAGATGCAAGGTGTTGTGATTAATGCTGAAAATTCCATTCTGTATCACAAGTCCTGTTTTTGGAATAAAGTAAATCACTATTATTATTGATTGATTGATCGAAATGAGTAGTTTGTCTACCACTCACATCAACCATTAGTGTGTAGTGTTACACAATCACGCTTGCTTTCCTGACCAAATAGATGTCATCAAGAAGATCACATCTCTTGTGCGTGTGTGTTATCCTAATAATTTGGTTTCCAAAATAAAAACTGTCGTCAGTTTCCATCTCTTCGAAGTGTGAAACTTGCAAACACTAGTCAGTAACTATTGTGATGTGTCTATTGCTTTGTTTACTGCAGATTGAATTCTGTCAATGAGGTTTGCAATGTGGCCACTATTCCAGGTAGTTTTCCATCACGGTGCACTTTGAATTATTGATATTAGATGGTTAGGGGCAATTTACAGGATGCCTTGGACCTAAGTTCCGTGCTAGCTGGATGATAGGATCCTGCAAAAAACAGTATATCATCCTTTCTCATTAATCGTGTGATTATTTTGTGATGGAGTTACTTTGGGAATGTATCATTTCTCGCGCATGTTTTGATGTAACGCGTGATCAATTAGTAATCTTTGTATCATCTGGTCTTTGTCGAATCTTCAGCCAATGAGAATCGCCATTGCTCACCAATAAGAACAATCCATTTATCATGGCTGTGAGTCAACTTTATTGTGTATGTGTGTGGCACCTTCCTAATAAAGAGACAGACTTTTACAGTCACAGGTCAGCCTTTGTCATTTGATATTTGCCTGGCTCAGTGAAGCGTAAAGTAAAACGGAAGAATAGGCGTGCGTTGGCGCACTAGTCGAGTTTATTACTGTTATAACAATTAGTGGCGCAGATATAACATTGGCAATCGTCAGCAGGGCGTATCTGCAACCTTGAAAGAACTCATGTCCTTTCTGAGATGCGAACCCGCATCACTCAGTGCTGCGGTCAGAGACGCTATTGATGACAAGATCATCATGACTATATTAGTTCTCTTCATTACCGGTTCATGGGTAATGTTTAAATCTATAAGTATTTATTTGTCTGGCGAGGTTTTAGAAGTCTCCTAGCACACTTCTCAGTAATGTATTCCAACATTTTGAGATCTCTCAATCAAATTTATAACCATGTTGATTGATTTATATTACGGCAAATAATTTCGCATCATGCGCGACTGTTCACTGCAAGCTGATATACCTGAATGTGTTCTGTAGTAGGTTGAACAGATTGTTCAGCTTAACAACTTTTACTAACTCTTTTATTTATTCCTTTACGTTCCCAGTGGAACATAGGGCTGCTTCAAGGTGGAGGCTTGAAGTTTTGGGTAGCAGTAGTTTCCTACTTTTACAGGATGGGGTGGCTAGCAACCTCACGCCCAACCATCTCTCTTTACTAGTCTTATTACTGGCTTAACGGGGTATAGGAGTGTGTCTGTGGCCGAGGATTGAACCCCGAACCACTTGTGGCGTGATTAGCGAGCATTCTAATGGTGTGCCACCGACTCAGTTGCAAACTCTAAAGGTGCTTTAATAAATTTCATTTCATCTTGCTTGACAAGTAGATCTTTGAGATCAAGTGGATTTTTGAAACAAATGCTCCACTCTGTTTATAGCTTTCTTAGGTACTATGATAAATGAAGGCAGTATTGAAAATTCTTATACCTTTACTTTCATCCTTGCAAATTCTGACTGGAATAGGGAAGTTTCATTTGTAGCGGTTGTGTTTTCCTACGAGATAGTGGGGGTAGCTGAAATCAAGCTGAAAATTCCGTCTTTTCAAGTCTTTTCTGTCTAGAGTTCATCGGTCAGGAATTAAACTCGGATCACATTCGTGGCTGCAGATTACACTGAACCACTGATGGAAATTTTAATACTCCTCCCGAATAACCTCTGATTAAAGATAATTCATGGAACAAGAAATGCATCCTCTGAAGTCTTTGCTAACTCAGTTTTGTCTGTTCAGTAATAATACTGCTCGTAATTACATGTCTGAAAGCAATTTATACAGAAGTAATATATATATATATATATATATAAATCCAATGAAACATACTTGCTTATTGTAGCTTCATGAGCATAAATACTCATTTCTAATTTTCTATTATCTAAACGAGTAAATTTATATGGACGATTTGCAAGTTTCGCCAGTAATGGATTCACTTTACGATCTGCTGGTAAATCACAAATTCTTCCCTAGAATAGGAAACCATTAAAACACAGCTGGTAATTATGTAAAATAAAATAGGGGGAATTCATAAACTGATTCTAATTTAACTAATTAAAAATGTCCATTAAAGCCCGAAAAGCTTTTATACATACGACTGCAATTCACTGGCGTTATACTAAGCGTGAAATAATTACGAAGAAATCGATTCAAAGGATTTTTCATGCTAGCAAACTACACGTCTTATTCTCTACACAACCGATGGTGATTCCTCGACTGAAAGGTGAATTACCTAGACTAACCACTTCTAATTGTATCTACCACTTCTACTCCGCGAGTGATGGAGCGAGTTATATCTACTGTTGTTCTAGGAACTTGATTTTTTGTTCTCGCTCGAGAACATCTGTCAGTATGGCTAAGTAAAGGTGTAGTAAAAATCATCAACACTTCGATTTTAGACCACCTGATTCAAAACGGCCACAAAACTAGCATTTAAGAATCCTTCTCTCTATCATCTATTGGGTACCTAATAAGTTGCCAAAAATATCGAGGTACCTCATGCCCCAAACAATAGAGGCTACCGCGATTTGCGTGAAACAACCAGTGCAAAAGAAGCAAGTCTAGCCAGCCACTACTAGTGCCCTGGCCTTCAGTAGAGACTATAAATTCATGAATTTGTAATATTATGTTTCCTCATTTTTCTGACATTCAGTTTATTGTTATGTTGACACTGTATGAACTGAAATCTGTTGATATTAATGGTTCGATGTTATTTAAACAACATTAATGTTGTTCATAACACTATTTCATTCATTCACTATAATGTATATATAACTGTAGAACCTGATGATGAAGTTATCAAAAACAGTATTCTTTGTTCAGTGTCCAGTCTTTTGAAGATTCTAATTTAATTTACTTTTTAGATTTTATTGTCGATTAATTGGACCGAAGTGCTTGATCTTAGGTTTACGCATCTGTCGGCTTCTTGTGCAGATGCTTCGATGATGTCTAGTCTCAGTCAGATTGTTCCAAATTAAATAGCTTCCTGTCGGAAATTAGTCAGTGGTCCTCTTCAAACGGACTTAAGCTTAATCCGTCTAAATGTCAGGTAGTCAATTTCACTTTCAGACGTAAATGTGACCTACAGCAACTAGTTAGCTCACATGGCCCCACTCTCATTGACGGCACAGAGGTTGAAAATACATCTAATGTCAAGTACCTTGGGCTCAGTTTTTCCACCGATCTCTCCTGGTCCTCCCACATCTTGCTAGTTACTAGAAAGATGTTTCACTTAACGCTCTACATTAGCAAATTTAGGCAGTCTGGTATAAAGCAATCTTTAATTTCTCAATTTGTAAATTCTTGTATTCTACCCATCCTCCTTTACTGCTCCCCATTAGTCTTTCCTGGACTACTTAAGAAAGACTTTGCTTCGCTGAGAAGGGCACTAAAAGCTGTTAGTAGGGCAAGTGGGATATCGTTAAACCAACTGGTGAACACTATTGTAGATAGACATATAATGTCATGTAAGAAACTAGCGAATACAATATTGTCGGACCCCGAGCATCCTCTCTATACGCATCTATCTCCTTGCATTTCATCTGGAAGAACTAGAAGCAGCTATAGGAGGCTATATGCTAGGACTACCAAATACAAAAACTCCACAATACCATATCTGGCACAGCTGTTATGTGATGAGAAATCCGTTAGGTATGACACGATAAACTTACTGCAGCACTCTAACAAATAGTCTCATTAGGTTTTCTTTTCCTTTCCTCGTTACTACTACACTGTTGTTCTCATCTTCTACCACACAACAACTTTATATTTCAAATCCTGTGGTGCATTGTTTGAAATGAAATACTCTACGCTGTTTTTTCTTAATTTTTTAATTTTTATTTGTTTTATTTATTTATAACTTATTTATTTTATTTTTATTTATTTGTCTTTGATTTTTAAAAATCTTATATAATTTATGAGGTAATTAGATGCAATATACTGTAATGCACGCTGAAAGTTCCATACCTGTACCACAAATACCGTTTGGAATAAAGCTGTTATTAATATTATTATTAGTCATATAAATTGAAGTCAGTTGGTGGATGGTGACTAGAAGTGGAATCTACCAGGATGCGCGTTTCGTCCTATTTGGGACTCGTCAGCAAGCTGGGTGTAACAACATTCCCCAGTGAGTGATGGTGTTCCCATCGTTGAAATACGCATCCTGGATTCCACTGCTAGCCACCATCCACCAATTGGCTACAGGTTACATGATCAGACATCATCGAAGCATCTGCACAAGGAGCCGACGTGTCAACCTGATAACTAGCACTTCAGTCCAATCAATGTACGGGAAAATCTAAAAAAAAGTGAATTATGTAATTACTAGAACCTGTTGCACAAGAAGTGGCTCTCGTGGCCCAAATGGTCTAGTGGATACCGCTTTGGAGTTTGCAACTATGGGCACTGAGTTCGAGCCTCGGTGGGGACAACACCATCACTCACTGGGGAATACAGGTGCATTCAGCTGACGAGTCTCAAATAAAACGAAATGCACACCCAGGAGCCCCTGCTAGTCACAGTCCACCAACTCACTTCATGATTCTAATTTAATCCTAAAGGTGATAAAAATGTATAGGTCAAGTGTGTGTGTGCCCACACCATAGAAGCTGATTTCTGCGTTGAATACATGAAGAGGAAAGACAGTTAGTATAGCGAGAATGAAGAACTCCGGGTAAAATCGTTGGAGGTTAATCACATACAGCCTTTTTTAGACGGTGTTGGCAGTTATGTCTGTAAGCAGACCATAATGCCGACTACGGCTGCCGTATTTAGTTATGAGCATTTCGCCAGGGAATAATTGATTTAACTGTGGGAAAAAACTATTGATTTGTTCGACTATTTCTTACTTCATTATAGCGAAAAAATTCATTCAGACATCTGTAAAACACAAAATAATATTAAACGGTTGCTGAGAGTAAACGGTCATCCATGAAATTTCATTGATAAGAATATGAATCCAAAATCAAAACAGCCTAAGGTACCAACAGTTCCAAAAAAGGATGGCCTTATTCTTACAAATGCAGTTCTTCGGGGACAACATCAGCGAGATACTAACACAGAGCCTTATAAATGAGGTAAAAAGGGCATTCCCTGTTGCCAAATTACGATGTGTCTTCAAAACCACCCCCTCTATTTTGCGTTCGGGAGTAAAAGACAAACTGCCTCTTCCATGTGTATCTATCAGTTTGACTGCTCCTGCGGAGCCAGTTACATGGACTGTGTACAATTAGGTGTGTTACTCGTCGAATTTCCGAACATCACCCTGCGTGGTTAAGCAAACGACAAACTAGATCTATTCGCATTGCTATTCTATCTCATCTTGTGGATACAGAACACAAGATTGATGTTAAACATGCTTTCAGGGTCATTTACTACATACCAAGAAATCTCAATTTTGCCTTAAGAGTTCGACTACTAAATATTGCTGAGGCTGTCAGGATCCATATTAACAAACCTAATTTGTGCGTCCGAATTAAGTTGGTTCAAACATTATCCTCACCTTGGCCATCTAGGTCTGAATGATTCTGAATTTTTGTGAAATTTTCATAATTTTATTTGAAATTCTATTTGCTATTATATCATTAATATTATTATTATTATAACTTAAGCATCTTTAATGAACTGTGGTAATTCCATTGATCATACTTTGCAAATCGATATTATTTAAAACAACACTAATATTGTTATTGACCACTATTCTAGAATATTCTATATATATATATATATATATATATAATTGTAGAGCCAGAAGAGGGAATTATCGAAAAGGATATTGTTTGCTCAATTATTTTGTGTTTTATGAATTATTTAACTATAGTTATAGAAACATTGTAACCGTTTCTAACTCCATAGTTAATTACAACCAATATAAACAATAATTTATGTTGGTTACTAAACTTTGTCTTTACAAGGAATTTTTTGATCAAAATATCTAATAAACTAAAGTTGTCAGTAGAATAAATTTTTCGAAAACGAAGGCGATATAGAAGTCAGAACCATAAAAGTATGGTCAAAACAGAGACTTATTATTATTATTATTCCCTTTGGGTTCTATGTGGAATATATATGGGGCTTCAAAAACAAATCTCCACTTTGTTCTGTCTTCTGCCTTCCTCTTCAGCTGGGTCCACGATTGCCGATAGTCCTTCATGTCCTCCTCCCTAAATGATCTCTTCCATGTCACCGTCGTACCGACAACGCGTTCGTCGCTACCTGTTCGGGTTCCATTCGAGCAATGGTCCGGCGCGTGGTGTCATTCGACGGTCTCCTCAATGTATGCCCGATCTATCTCCATTTTCTCCTGAACATTTGGGGAGCAATCGGCTCTTGATTGGTTTGTTCCTAGACGGAGTTGTTTGTTGCCAATTCTTTCTGGTTAACTGGCCATTTGATCTTCAGTATGGAGCTAGCCAGCGAAGGTGGAAATCCTCTTCGTTACTCACGCGCCAAGTTTGTGACCTGTATAGAAGCATTAACTGACTATACATTTGTGTTGAAAATGCCGACTGAGACGGAGTACAGAAGATTTCCAAACTGGCTTTATGTTAATGAAGGTGTATTTCGCCTTTCCGATTTTGACTGGCTTTTATATCTTCATCCTTTCCGACTACCTGTGGTTGAAATCGTGGTTGATGTGGACTGACATAAGTTAGAATTTACAATTCATTGGATTCCATGCCACTGACTGAATGGTGGACAGTCCTGAAGGTCCAGAGTTCGACCCCTACTAGGGTTGTATGTACTTAGTGCCAAATAGCCTAAAAACCTCCATTATAGATAAGATTTTATTTTAATAAATCGCACAGTGTAATACAGTATTACTAACTGATGACGTTTCGAGCACTATTGATATGATTATGAACAGTAATAATTTGTGCTGGAAGGATGATCATCAGTTAATATTAATGTATAATACTGTGTGACAATTTATCTTATCTCTAATGAAGTTATACTGTACCACCACAGTGCCCAAGTTTTATACTTATATCAGTAATACATATAGCCTCAAACCTGCCTGAAACAGCAGGCAATCAGTACCCCTGACTTTCATGGATTCTCTAACTGATGTGTGTAAGGGATGAAATTCCTTTTGGGGATAATGAAATAGTTTCAAATTAAGATAAAGCAATAAGAATACCTAGTTTATCTGAATCGTGTATTGTATGTATTTGCGCGCAACACATTTCGAACAATCTGATCCATCACACACGGACTTGTCATAGGAATGAGCATATATGAAATTAATAAAGAGTTGAGAGGTGAGAAAATTAACTACTCAGGTCAAGTTAAAACGACATACTGAAGGCCAAAATAACAATGAAGATCACCAAACCAAATAGCAGATGTGATAGTACATCTACCCTGGTATGCATCAAAACAAAGTTTACCATGGTAGGTGGTCGTTTAGTGTGATGACGAATTTTTGATTTCAACGCTTAAAGATGGCTTAAACTTTCTAATTGCCAGCTAGGGCTTCCACAAATTTTAGGATACGCTCCAAACACGTTTTATATATAGGTTTAAAAGATGTGTAAACGTCGATTTTATGTCCTGCCTCTATGATATGTTTCACAATATAGGAGCTAGGTCTCCTGTTCTCAACATTAATGGGTTCTGAAGATTCTATTTGTTTCTGGAGCCATTTAGGAATATATTCTGAAGCCAACGCTTACTTGCAGAGATCGATGAGTTCTCCCTATGTATGTCTGTCTACACGTACATTCAAATTCGTAAATACAGTGGGTTGTGACATTATTTTCGCATGTTCATAGGGCTTAGATGGATGGATGGATATATTGGCTTCACATTCTCAATTATTATGATATTAGCTGCATAAAAATTCGTCTTTTTGACATCAGCGTTCAGTCTTTGTCTAGTTATGAAGCTGGTAGGATGCCCCATATAGGGTAGGTAGCTTGATGAACACGTCTTTCTTAGGGGCGAGTTGTAGACTGAGTCTTGGTGTTCTGACTACTTTATATCTGCTGGCGAAGTCCTAGCAATTAGGAAGTTTAAACCGCCTCTACTCGTTCAAACCAACAATTCGTCATCACACTAAACAACCACCTACCTTGGTAAACTTTGTTTTGATGCATACCAGGGTAGCTGTACTATCACCTCTGTTATTTGGTTTATTGGTCTTCATTGTTGTTTTGGCCTTCAGTATGTCGTTTTAGCTTGACCTGAGTAGTTAATTTTCTCACCTTTTAACTCTTTATTAATTTCATATATACTCATTGCTATGACAAGTCCGTGTGTGATGGATCAGATTGTTCGAAATGTGTTGAGCGCAAATACATACAATACATGATTCAGACAAATTACGTCTTCTTATTGCTTTGTCCAAATTTATAAAGGGAACTAATTGTTTTAAATAGTTTCAAATCAAATTCAAGTGACTTACCCTTTTTGAATTTTTGGCTAGTTTATTGCAGTAAACTAATCCATCAGACGTGAATAAAGTTTTCATACTGGATTGTGTTTTCCCCTGTTTATTGATATTATTGTCTGTATTGTAATTGTCAGCCATAACATAACCAATATCATTTGGATCATTTGTTGCGATACCAAGATTTTGTAGTGAGGTTAATGCATTCCTTAATCCTTCAACTTGATTCATTGCTTTATCACGTTCAATTCGATGCAATGTCTTCTCTTTCATTGCAGTTTCATACTTTTGTCGTAACAGCCTTAAAATGGGCTCATATTCAGCATAGTGTTCTTTCACTCTGTTGAAAGCAAAAAAAAATAAGTCAGATAACAAAAATATTTATACAAAATTATAAAAATATCCAGTGTATTATGCATTAACATATATGGTGAATTTTTTATAGTTTGGTTTGTAAGGGTTAGTTATGTTTTGTACGAGTTGATCACGGATTGATATCAGTTGGAGAACCATTGAAAACCACCAAGGAGTACTGGACAGTTGCTATTTCACTCTAGTTTGGGAATCATCTGCAGTACGCACCCACTATAGGATGGAGTTTTCCTGGAGTTCTAGTGAGAAGTCGTGACCAGTGAGATCGAATTAGATGTCACGTGTGTGGATGGATGTCCCACCAACGAAAATGGTTAGAGTCACGCTAAATCACGAATTGGTAGAAGTTAGAATTCATGGACTCGCTGGCCATTGAATCGGGTCCCAGTGGCTGAATCGTATACCAGCCAGCTTGCCTGGTAACCGGAAGGTCCTGGGTTCGAATCCCAGTGGGTGGGTACTACCGATGATTCCCAAACTAGGATGAAACAGCAGCTGTCCAGTAGTCCCTGGTGCTTTTCAATGGTTCAACAATAGGAGTACGATTGCTGAACTGACCTTGAATGCATGCTAGTGGTTGGTTGAAGAAACTTACGATTATTCTAGCGTGAAAATGAACGCTGTTCATGAACTCAAGTGAAAATATCACCCAGATCATGTTTTCAAAATTTGTTTTATTCCTTCATGTTCCCAGAGTTTACTTTTACAGGATGGGGTTAGTAGTCTCATACCCAACTTTTCCTCTTTAGCAGCTTACTGAGGTAAAGCAGGGCGTCTGTGGCCAGGGATCGAACCACGGGATTGTGTGCATGGTCGGAGAGCATCCTCACCGCGGTGTCACTGACGTACATCAATTTTTTACATAGTGTCTGGGTAATGGGTTGATAGGACGTTCTCGTATATGTAGTTGGAGGGGGGGCTTTTATGAGCCTGCAACCGTATTCACAGGTCATTCATGAATATATATTTAGATGTACAGAGTGTAGGAAACGAATGAGTGTTTGCAGTGGTGAGTGACACTCTCAGTTAATTGTCTTCTAGGATCTTTCTTTGCTAAATCAAGACTTTCTTTGACGAATATACTCTTTCTTTCCCCTAATTGGATTTTGAAGTCCGGTGTGAGGTCAACAGCCTCTCAGACAGAAAATACCTTGACGTCAACTGTGCGGTGGGTTCAATTTTTTTCGAGATTTAGCCTCATGGAAAATGAACAATATTACACAAGTGTTAAGAGGAGTCGGTGTTACCGTTCACATAGACGAAACAGTTCTGATAAGGAAGAAATATAATCGCGGACGTTCGAGAGCTAACAACGTTTAAGTATTAGGAATTTATGACACCAATATTCAGAAGGGATTCACTGAACTTATTCCAGGCAGGAGTGCGACACTCTTCTGCCTGTAGCTGGGAAACTACAAAGAATGGATGAATCCGTGATATTGAGGATTGTTCTGAGGCATATTACCAACAGTCTTAAGCTATTGGTTCTCAATAAGCCGTGATCCACAACCAGATGGTCTACATCTTCACACATGCAAATTAATTTTTATACCGTGAAGAATGAATTTATCCACTGTCCGACTGCGAATTATTTGCAGTATTAGGCAGCATGACGAAAATAAACTTCAATAGGATAGATTTTTACGCCTAATGAATACACATTTGTGTAAATGTTTTCAAAACCAATTTTCATCTCACTACCGAGGAAATATAACTATCAAACCGTATGAAATGGTCATTGGAAAAAATATTCTTTGCCAACGAATACTTTTTTTAATGAAGTATGATGTGACCGTGTAAACTATAGTATACCTAATTAACTAATTTTATGATCACTGCTGCCTTTGAATTTAACATATATCCTAGAACGTTAAGTTATTATATTATTATTGTCTTAATTGTCTTTTCAGAGGAACATAAAGATTCAGGCACACGTCTTCGTCTCATTCGCTTCTCCGAGAACGTCTTCGCCTGGATCCACGTCTGCTCACATGCTTTCATCTTCTCTTCGCATAACCTACTCCATTTCACCTTCGTACTGACGAACAATTCACCAATTCCTATTGGGGTTCCACTCTAGGGCCTGTTTTGTGATATCACTTGATGACGGTTTGTTTTCTCGGAGTATGGCCTATCCTCCTCCATTTCTTCCTGCATATTTGTCGCACAGCTGGTTCCTGATGGGTTGGTTCGTTCATTTCCAGATATCATTTTTGCTAATCTTTTCTGATCGGCAATATGATCTTGAGTAGTACTGAGCAAAGACTGCTGCTGACAAAGGAGAATAAGCCTGCTGGATTTGCTGAAGGATCCCAGAATCCATATATTATGTGTCAGATCAGATTTTAAGGGGAAAATGTCTGACAGTGTTTCATGAGCCTTAGTTTTAGTAAACTGATTTCATAAGAAACGCAAAGCTAAGAATATCACCTTTGAAGACTTACTTCCTAATGTCTGAGTGTAGCTTATCCTTATCTTGAAGAATTTGTCGATGTTTGATTACGTGATAATCCCTCTCATTTTTGGTCTTCCTCAGTTCCTCATTGAGTTTTCTGAAACAGTTAATTGTTTATCATCAAATCAAAAGCTATTACATGACTGAATTTCTCAAGTCAGCATTTTCGGATCTCAAGTTCTTAACCATGTTACTCAGTCCTTCATTTTGTATGAAGACGTCTGGCATTGGTATATTTTCCTCGTTAAGTAATCCCTTGTGTAAAAGCTTGAACCTAAAAATCAGGGAAATGAAAATAACTAAACCATTCCGCTTGAAATGTATTCAGAGTTTCTGAAAATCCATTTTCCTGCAAATATGTACGGAAGAACTCATCCACAGATGGTGGTGAGACACACGAATTAATATTCGGACATATGGCCTCACATTTTTTCTAAAGAATATCAAACTAAATTAACTTATTACTTTTGCCTCAGAGTCCTTCAGCGTTTCTCCAACCCTTTGAATTAGGGGGTCAATTTCATCATCCTTGGGTATGTCTGGTAAATCCTCCACTTTCAGATTTCAGATTTTTTGTTTGAGGATAGAAGGCTTGCAGCCTATGTTAATCCTTTTCTAGTAGATTTCTGTGGTTGTCCAAACCCTTCTTGAACGAATCAATTGAGGTTGCAGACACCACTTCTTCTGGGAGTCGGTTCCAAGAGTTTATGACTCGATGTGAGAACCAGTACTCAACAGCAATATGATTTCTCCTTGGCTTTTGAACTCTCCTGCTATGTCCTCTAAGGTGTTCCGACCTGGTGGGAAGGAAAAGAGAGAATAGGTCAGGTCCGTAGTCATTATTTAAAATTTTAAACATTGTGATTAAATCTCCTCTCTGCCTACGGTATGACAGTGAGAAGAGATTTAAACTATCTAGTCTTTCCTCATATGATAAGTTAGCTATGCCGTGAACCATACGTGTTGCCTTCCTTTGAACACTTTCTAGAATGTATGAATCCCCTTTTAGACACGGACTGGCGGCCTGGATGCAGTTTTCCAGTCTTGACCTAACCAGAGATGTGTATAAGGAGGTGAACATATCTCTGGTAATTCTTGTAAAGGCTCTGCGAATCGCCCATAAGGACCTGAAACTACGTGCAGCCACCGCGCGACAGTGTGCTGTAGTTTTTAAGTCGTGGCTAACTATGACACCTAAGTCCAAGTGAGTCTGAACTGATGGAAGTGTTATTCCCTCTAGTTCGTAGGAGCTCGTGCTTGCTTGTCCAATGCGCATGGTTGCACATTTTGCCACGTTGATCGGGAGCATCCATTCAACAGACCACTCCGACAGTTTGTTGAGGTCGTCTTGCAAGGTGGACGTATCACTGTTGCCCTTCAGCTCCCTCCAAATTTTTAAGTCATCTGCGTATAGGACCATAGGGGAGTCGGTCAGCAGAGGTAACTCATTGATATACAGAATAAAAAGGAGAGGACCGAGAACCGTGCCTTGTGGCACTCCGCTACTTACTGCTGTCCAGGAGGAGAGTTTTGAGTTGATCCTAACCCTCTGCCTCCTATCTATGAGGAATTCCCTAAGCCAGTCTAGTAGTCTGCCTTTGATACCAAGACTTTCCAATTTCATGAGTAGTCTTTTGTGAGGTACTTTATCAAAGGCTTTACTGAAGTCTATGAAGACGACGTCAACGGGTCTTCTGTCATCCTTCGATTTAACCCAGCTTTCTCTTGCAGTCAGGAGATTTGACAGGCATGAGAGGTTCCTCCGGAAGCCATGCTGTGCTCCAGATAACAAGCTGCTATTTTCCAGATAAGCCATGATGCTTTTCTTGATAATTCTTTCCAGTGTCTTGATTAAAGTGCTGGTGAGACTGATAGGCCTGTAATTTGAAGGGCTTTGTCTTGATCCTCCTTTGTGTATGGGAGTTACTATGGCGTCTTTCCAATCACGTGGCAACACTCCATTTTGGAGAGATAGCTTGAAGATCGTGGCCAAGGGGCCGGCTATGTGGGCTGATAGCTCCTTGAGAAGCCTTGGATGAAGACTATCAGGACCCATTGATTTTCCTGCATTTAGTTTCATTAAGAAGTTGAGCACGATGCCTTGGTCGATGTCAACGGAATCTATCCCATGTTCTTCTGATGCAGCCAGAGCTGATCCTATAGGCAGTGATGACTCCTGAGTGAAGACTTGGGAGAAGTAGTTTGCCATTGCTTCTGCTTTTTCTTGATCTTCTTCGATTGTATCTTTGTCAATAATCAGGTTTGGGACACCATTGGGTGTTTTATTCCTGAAATTCAAGTACGAGAAAATTTTCTTAGGTTGTGCCTTTGCATTTTGGGCCAGGTGTGTCTCGAACTTCATCCTTGATTGGCGGATTTCTGCGATAGCTTTATTTCTAGCAGTAGTATATAATTCCCTGGTCTCAGAAGTCTCAAGTGTTGCAAACAGGTTCCAACATTTGCGTTTACGTCTGAGTAACTTACGAATCTCCCGGTTTATCCAAGGGGGGGAATGTTTCCGACCCTTTGGAACAGACCAAGGGATGAAGGGTACAGTTACTTGGGCGTAAAGTTGCTTAAATTGGTTCCATGCGGCTTCTACTTGGGACTCTGGATTGATGTACCAGTTTACTGAGTTGGCTGCTGAGACGATCGCATTTATGTCAGCTTTCCAAACGTTTGGTCGAGCTGGGGTTTTGGCCCTTGCTGCCGTTGCTGTGAACTTGAAGGTGAGCACAGCATGGTCACTTCTTCCTAACGGAGGAAGGTGTTGTATGAGATCCACATCCTCACCGTGTGAGAACACTAGGTCCAGAGTTGATGAGGAGTACTGTGAGTCATAGCGCGTGGGCTTAATGATATGTTGGACTAGGGCTAGCGATATACTAGATTCTAGCAGTTTGTGGTCAAAGGAGTTGACTGAAGATGGAGTTGTTAGGCTCGACCAGTCAACTGTTGGGGCGTTGAAGTCACCGACTACGAGACTTCGACATTTTGAAGTCCAGGAGCCTAGCTTCCCTATTAGGAAGTCGTCTGCACTGCAGTCAGGACTGCGGTACACAGCAATGAGGTCAATGTCTTGGCCTATGCATTTAAGTCTGCAGCGTAGAAGTTCACACGACTCACTTTCGTGGGCGAGTGCTTCGATACTACGCACGGTTAAGCCTTTCTTGAGGTAGATGACTACGCCCCCTCCTTTGCGGTTTAGTCGGTCTACCCTGTGCACTTCGAAGTTTGGCAGGTTAACTTCGTTGTCTGTGACATCGGGTGTGAGCCATGTCTCTGTGATAATAATTACATCCGGGTTTCCGGTTTCTATCATGTTTGCCAGCTCAGTCCTTTTATTTAACAGGCTGCGGGCGTTTGTGTAGCAGACTGTTAATTCAGATTGGTGCTTCCCCGGCCCACCCACAGAGGTTTCGGGATCATTAAACTGCGAACTCGGACAACCCGAAAACCCCTAATCTTAAGGTTCTTTTCACCGTTCCGGCGTCGCTCACTTAATTCTAGTGCCGCAGCCTGTCTTTTGACACGATCTGCCAGGCTTAAGTCAGCGCGGACATATATCCCTGATCCTTTGAGAATATGAGAGTTGCTTAGGATAGCGTCCCTCTCCGCTTTAGAGTTTAGTACGACTTTGAGGAGACGTACAGGTTCACTTACTGTAGGGTCAGGCTTTTGACCTATTCTGTATACGCTGTGTATAGTAATGCCTGATACTGTTTGTGGCAGTAGCTTGTCTAAAAGGGGCTTGACCAAGTTAAGGTCATGCTCGAATCTGGTCTTAGGGTCGAGAGCCAGTGACTCCTCCACTTTGTGGAGAATGAGAGACCTATCAGAGAGATCAGGTTTGCTTTCCGTTACTTTCTTGCCCTGAGGCGTAAGTGTGTTTCTATCCTTCTTGGGCGGTGTGGCCGAAGTGTTATCCTTATCTCGCTTTTTGCGAGAGACTACGGTGCGCCATTCATTGGCGTCCTCCTCGCTAATCTTAGGGGGGTTCGTCTGTCTGCTGCTCACCGGTGTGGATGAGGCTTGTTCCGCCAGTCCCTGGGCGACTGGGGCTGCAGGTTTTCGACCCCTAGTACGCCTCTTCTTCACGGCAGTCTTTCCATTACCGTCACTGGAGGGCTCATCCAGTATCGTGGGGGCGACCTGGGTGTCTGTGATATGGTGGGTGTTCTTCTGTGCTGTAGAGCACTCACTTATTGGCAAGGTCGCATCTGGGACATGTGCTGTTTTATCAATGACGCTAGCCACGTCATCGCTATCTGAGCAATAGTCGGTATTCTTCTGTGGTGGAGGACGCTTGCAGTCCATGAGCTTTAAAGCCCCACTAAGAGTAGCTATGGCCTCTGTAATACGGAGTTTAGTTGTACTACAGCAGTCATTGCATAACCAGTTCGCTAGAGGTTTGCAGCAGCGTTTGTATGCTGCTGGAGTAAGGTTCGTGCACATACTGTGAAACCATCTCTTGCAGTTATCACACTGCATTCCCTCATCCACTGGAAACTGGCACATAGCCCTTCCGCAGCGGTTTCTTTTAATAGGCATTTTATTTAAAACGAACCAGGAAAAGTTAAATACAACTTCAAATATATATATATAACCTTTGTAAATCAGTGATAAAAGCTAATGAGTGCACAAGGATAGATATATGTGGCTATTACGTTATAAGAACACTTATTATAATTAATAGACTCAGATCTGAAACGTAAACTAACTTCGACCAGAATAAACTGATTTAAAGTTAAATCTGTGGACTTTTGAAGCGTATAACACAACAAAATCCAATTATAAACAAGAGCGTGAAAATTAACTCCCTTTTCAAAGTTCGCTGAGAAAACAGAAGACAACGAATCATCCTCAGGAATTTGTTCATCTGAGTAACGTAAAGTGTTAATGAATGCACCAACAATTACTTTCAACGTAATACTTTGTTTGATCGATTTCCATGATTTTCTAGACTTTTGAAACTGTGCCTAACGTAGTTATAGGCAAATGGTGTAGTGATTAGTTTAAACAAAGGTTAATCAGCACATCTGATATGTGAGTTAAATGTAGAATAAGCAAGCCTTAAGGATAATGTAACTGCAAGACAATATGTGAATGCCAGTTCACATACTGATTTCAATTGTTCTTCTTCTTAAGAGATGAACGTCGGTGGCACAGTGGTTAGGACTCTCGCCGACCATGCACAGGGTCCGGGGTTCGAGCCCACGCCGGCGCATACCTGATATTTATGGTCGGCCTGCAAAATTTGGGCTACCGATATCCATGCTGAAAATTCCATACTTGTACCAAAAATACAGTGTGGAATCCAGCTGTAAATAAAAAATTAAAGAAATGAGGATGGAAGGTTAGGGACTTGAATTGAACTATTCTACCGACGATACTACAGATTTCCCACACGTTATTGTTGCAGGCCGACGATACCACTCTGGATGACAGACAGCTTTATTGGATCTCTTCGAAACGTACACTCTGGTCATGATTTCGCACTTAACTCACATGAATATTGATGTCAGAGTAGATACAACAAACAAGCCACCTTAACATCGCTCGACGAGAAGTGTATTGACATGAAACTATTTATTGTTGAGAAAGAAAAGGAAGTAAATAAATTAAATACTGGACCCGGAGCAAGAAAACCCTTTGAGATGATAGAGACGAAAGCACCTCTAGGCCTTCTTTCTAAGAGTAAGTCAAATATGGTAGACGAAGCTCCTAGGGGTAGGCCTAATTGGTGTCAAGTGAAAAGCCAATTTTATCCAATCCCTAATTCTAGACAAACAGCACAGCAAGGTAGTAGGCATTAATCTGCGCATCTACTACGTAAATCCCTTGTCAGCCAGCCCACTTCTAATGTTCTATGTTATAGAAAATACCCCAATCATCGGCCACAGACCACAGTCAGCGAGCCAACAGAACCCATTCATACATCTTATGTATCTAGTGGGGAGCATGTGACGATTTCTGCACAAAACTTGCTATGGTCTGATGAATGCCTGAGACAGGTACCAACACTTCATTCTTATACTGGCAACAAATTACCGAATACATATATCGGTTACACGTTAGAGCAGGATTTCCACCAGCGTCAGTTGACAGAAACAACTGGTGTCAGTGTAGTTGAAGATTGAACGATAAATTCATGGTTGTTTGCTCAAACCCAACTTCCCTATATTTTCGCGGAGAAATCGATACACCAATCATCCATGGGATCGTATACGCCGGGGAGGCTATTGCTGGGAATGACATGCATACAAAGATAAGGATTAGCTGTGATCCCACACGCCGGGGAGCGGGAGTGTAGGCGACTGAGGCTTGCGTACGTCACCGTTACTAGAACTGAGGCAGAATGAGTGACAAGCGATTGCAGTGGTAATTGGTAGTGAGTAGATACGAGGACGTGCGTGGAGTATCATGTGGTGCGTCTATGGTCGCGTTGCATTCTGCAAGTCATTCTAGCAAGTGGCGATTGTAACGCAAGATGTCAAGAGGAGCGACTTTATTGCATATCCCCTCAATGACGCTTGTTGCTACGTTGCTATTGGTTTCAAGTGGCCTTGGTTTTGGGGGAAGATTTAACTGATGTAATATTGCTATATCGTAGACATAACTCAGGCTCATAGGTGAAAAAATTATAATCCTGGAATAAGGACAAGTTGTTCATCAGGTAGGGAGGACATTATTTTTCAGTTTATTTGTATATATACTATTGTGTATCGGGTTGCACTGAGTTCTTGGTGCAACTGTGTGTAACTGCATTTACATAACGTAAAACATTACGAATGCTCCTTCTTTTAGAATAAAAAACGTGATTCTTTTCATTCAGTTTAGTAATGAAGAATGGAATTTCTTCCACGTCAGTGTTATTCAATTGAAGATTTAATCTATAGAGATTGCCTAGGGCGCATTGCAGACTTTTCGGGGCAGACTTAGGGCACATTGCAGACTTTTCGGGGCAGACTTAGGGCGAATTGCAGACTTCTTGGGGCAGACTTCGGGACAGTGCCCCACGTAAGTAGATTTACCCGAAGTTTTTGCCCCGAAAAGTCTGCAATGCGCCCGAAGAAAATGCTAGCTGGGCTTTTTGATTATAGGTGTCCGCGTTCTATCTCATGAGTAAAGCAGTATAATATGGCGAGTGCTGTTGAGGTTACGCATAAATGTTTAGGTGGGGAGGGTAAGTTAGTCTTCAAGGTAGGGAAGCTGAATAGGTTGAGATGGCTAGAACATGTGCTGGCATACAAAGCCATCGCCTTTCTCCAGGGACAATGCTAGCCAGCACATGTTAAGGTTTAAAATGTGTTTGGGACGGTCAAATGAAAAAGTGATATTGGTTCATAAAATTGTTGACAGTCAGCTGGAAGAACTACCGGAGATGTGACTGCAAATCTTTGGTACTGGTACAGGTGCATTCACTCTGTGTAATCTCACGTATCTCACGCATCTGTATCGCGGTACGTTCAACGTTTGCGTTACATTTTTACGTGATTCGTTACATAAAATTTATCTTGTTGTAGTACTTGCACAAGTACTATACCACTTCCATACTTGTAACCACTAACTCTTATTTCTAATAGTTATGGTTAATCAAAGTAAAAAGCAGCGAACCCAATCCCCTGTAAAACTGGTGTCTAATTTAACGTCCTTGATTGCTACATCAAGCAACACACCCCCAACAAACGGCTATAGTGAGTCACATAACTCACGTGTATGCCGTAAGCGTCGAGCTGAAACTGAAAATAAAACTGTACTGACAGCCAGTATTAGCACTACTCCTAAAAATTCGGTACCCTCTGCTCATACAGAACTCCTCCCTTCACCTTATGTGCTTATGGAGAAACTCCAGCCATCAAGCTCTTTTTCAGTACTATCTTCAGAAATAGAACTTCTAAAGTTGTCTATAGGAGAACTTAAGGCTGAGTTAAGGGAAATAAAAAACAGCAAGTCAGTAAATGCTGGAAACATCGAAACCAATACCGAGATATGCAAATTATCAGATCAGATCAGCGATATCAGATCGCAGGTCTGTGAACTGACACCTCTAACTATCCTCATGAAAACGGTAAACCTTAACAAGCTTGACACAGAATCGGTAACTAAGGTAGATAACCTCATTAACTTTGTTACCACAGAAGTAACAAAACGACTCGACGCAAAACTGAGTGCTATTGTCTACAACGTTCCGGACAATGAGGCACTAAAAAAGGTACAGCGCATCTTACTTAGTGAAGCGAAAATGCCTAACTCCAAGACTAAGTGCTACAGGCTGAAGAAGAGTCAACATGAAAAGTGTTGTCCTATTCGATTTCAGTTCGAAACACCGGCAGAGACCAGAAAATTCATTCACTCCCAACACACCCTATCGCAAGCCAGAAACTACAAACATATAAAGGTCGGGGTGGACAAAACAGTTATAGAAAGGCGCGCACACAACTATCTCACTAAGACTAATTGTGAAATAGGTAATAGGACATTGCAGCAAGCCATTATCCCCAACCCTGTGAAAGATACAGTAGACCCCACCGCATCACCCCTCTCAAAACACACAGAAATGTCCCATCAGAGTGCAACACCAGCCGAAAGGCCACTAGACTGTAACCAAATAAATAATAAAACCATACCACCCATCACCGCAGAATCTAAAATGCCACTAAATAACCCCAGAAAAAAAGTTAAAACCCCCCGAAACTCGACTTTGTCCTCTCCTAGCTATAATTCCATTGGTAAAGATAAGGAAAATATGCCCCTAAATCATACCAACAAAAACAGTGGCAGCTTAAATAAGCCCACACTCCCCACGGTTAATAGTATTAGCACTCACAACGTGCTAAATCGCACCGTGGCACACACTAATATCCAATGTCACAACGATGTCACCCTAAATAGTACAAGTGGTAACAGTCAGAACTCGGCTACCAACAACTCAGGGTCTTCAGAGTATGGCACACAAACAAATTTCGACCGGATGTATGGTACAAGTCTGCTGGGAACTAACCCAAAATGCAGTACACACGAAACCCACACAAGGACACAACTAGCATCAAACAATAGGTGGAATAATAAGCCATGGTCATCACAAGGATCCAATCATTTTTTATCCCCCGCGTCCCTGTCAGCGTTGAAAAAACAGCTGGTAGGGATGTTAACACTCCTAAACCACTAGTGCTGGCTCCCTCCTTGCATGAAAACAGGAACGGTCTAGTGCACCCGTATCCATTGGACACACTTGACACTTGCACAAGTATAGGCCAAATAAAGAACCCTACCCACTTCTGTAACCTAACTAAAAATAAAAGTTCCTTAGTCTATAGCAAATCCAGTACTCCAACTCCTAATTCTCCACCGAAAACAGCACACAACAACTCGATAGACATAGGTGAGCATGATGCTGGAACTCCTCTTAACATAGGATCGTCATGTCCAGCAGAACTACTGGGTGCTGAACCATATTCGGGGCTGACTAACGAACTTAAATACTTCAAATGCTACTTCAACTCTCATCTTTACGTAATCCTCATAAATGCTAGATCTGTTCTAAATAAATTGCCGATGCTCAGAGCACTCACAGTAATATACAAACCCCCTGTAATTGTCATCACTGAATCTTGGTGTCATTCGGACATCCTGGATGATGAAATAAGCTTAGATAACTACACACACTTTCGGTGTGACAGGGAAGGTGGTAAGGGAGGGGGTTGTCTCATGTACTTCTTGAATGAACTTACTGTATCACAGCTAGAAAGTAGTACACTTAACATGCCTGAGACTCTATGGGTTAATGTACACTTAAATAACGTAACAGCACTAATTGGATGCTCCTACAGAGCACCTGGCACCTTTAGTAATTACGAGACCCAACTCATTAATACTCTGGAGCAATTAACCGACTTACAATACGATCATAAGATCCTATGTGGGGACTTTAACTTACCTGAAATCAACTGGGATATACCCACAGGTCCAACTAAATTTGATAAGTTCTTAGACACACTGGATATACTTGGCTGGAAACAAACTGTCACTACTCCCACAAGAGGTAACAACGTACTAGACTTAATCTTCTGCCACAATATAAGCCCCCTTTCAACGCTAGTAGGTTCTGAGTTCCCAGGGAGCGACCACAAAACAGTAATGTGTGCACTGCCAATTCCGCTGAGTAGCAATGCATCTCATACCTCCACTTCACAACAAGTAATATATAGGAACTATAGTAAGGCAAACTGGGCCTTAGTTGAATCGATGCTAAGATCCTCCAAATGGGATGAATACTTCACTACTGATGACCTATCGAGAGCCCTAACCATCTTCTACCATAACTCAAACATATGCTTAGATGCTGTCATTCCACTCCAAACACTAAAGGTTTCCCCACACAGAAAGTCATTCATAAAACCAAAGGATCGTAAGAAACTGAAGAAACTCTCAACAAGTTACTTCAAACACCACGACTTTGGCACTCTAGGTCTAATACTTAAAACCCTTAGCTCCATCACACAAGCTCAAGATTTCCGTATGAGAAAGGAAGAACGCATCGCAGTAGCCAGTCCTGCTAGAGCGTATGCACTCACAGAAATCTTAAGGAAGCGAATGAATCGCAAAAATCACAGCATTCCTCTCCTCATAGACAAAGGCAGGCTATGCACTAACTCTGCAGACATATGTGAACTATTCAACAAAACGTTTGCAGGTAACTACCTTAAGCCCTCAGTCCAGCTACTCGATATACACCCTATTACTAAAATGGCACCAACTCCACTGACACCAAACCAAATTAGCACTGTTCAATTCACTTACGCTGACATTAACCAAACTATAAGAACCCTCAAAAGTTCAAAAGGTTTCGGTACCGACGGTATATCATCTTACTTCTATAAATATGGTGGCCCTGACATTCCTCTACTACTGCTTAAAATATTCACAATGTCCCTAGAAACCCAAACTTACCCTGACATATGGAAGACTACATTCATTATGCCTAAACACAAATCTGGCTCGAAAACTGAAGTCAGTAACTACCGGCCAATCAATATCACACCTATAGCATCTAGAATCATGGAGAGACTAGTCAAAAATAACCTAATCAAACACATGCTTAGCTGCAACATCATAAGTCCGAACCAACATGGATTCCTGAAATCCAGATCATGTTTAACATGTCACCTAGACTTCTTCAATTTTGTAACCAGCAGTCGTGACAGACGGCAACTAGTACTTGTCATCTACTTTGACATTTCTAAGGCATTTGACCGTGTTGACCATTTACTGCTAACAAATAAACTGAACTCCTTAGGAATACGTGACCCATTATTAGGATGGCTTAAATCATTCCTTAACAATAGGTCCCAAATAGTTAAACTCGGGTCTGCAACCTCCAAACCTAGCCCTATCACTTCTGGTGTAGTACAAGGTAGTGTCATTGGACCCCTCCTATTTACACTATACATCAATGACATATGCGCTTGCTTCACGCACGGGAAACCATTCATCTTTGCAGATGACCTAAAAGTAGCTTATACATTCCAACGTGATGACTTAGGGAACTTCGAGAATGTAGTACAGAAGGAATTAGATAAAATGGCTGCTTGGTCGTCCCTATGGAATCTCCAATTTAATCTGAACAAATGTGGCTGGATCTGCTTCGGTGCACCCTCAATCGACCTGAAATTAACGCTCCAATCTGCTAACCTAACAAGACTCCGAAATGTCGTTGACCTAGGCCTGAGGTACTCTAGTGACTTGACATTCTCAGAGCAAGTAGCATCACAGACTAGAAAATCGAGGATGCTCTTAGGATGCATACTCAGGAACTTTCACGACAATGAAGCCAAGCTAATTCTGTACAAAACATGTGTCAGACCACTACTAGAATACTGTCCATTTATTATAAGCAGCACTCGCACACGTGACAAGCTAAGGATGGAAAGTATCCAACGATATTTTACCTCAAAACTGCTTGGCTACGATTGTAAGGAAGACTACATCTCACGGTGCATGATCCTAAAACTCGACCCACTTTGGACAAGGCGACTTATTATAAACCTAATATTCTTCTTTAAGGTCCTTCACAAAATATCTTTCTCAGGTAACAGGGACATACAATTCGCACAGGAAGGTTCTTACGATCTGCGTAACCAAACTTCCACAGTGACAACTCATTCTTTTAAGTCAACACTCCGTGAAAACTTCTTCACAGTCATGTATTCTAAAATATGGAATAGCCTACCCCTAGATATCAGAACTTGCTCTTCGGTTACAAGCTTCAAACGCTCTCTATACAGACTGTTGCACTCTACAGATTATATTAATAAACTATTTACTCCTAGAACGAATCAAGCACTAATCTACTACAGCACCTAAAAGACGCACTTCAACACCCTTAGCAATCTTTAAACTATAAATAAACTAGCAGCATGGATGCATAAAGACATAGTACGGAACATACAGGATTAGTCTACCCTTAGAAATAGGACCTATCCCTCATTGTAACCTTCAAACGCTTGCTATGTAAACTGTTTTATTCTAAAGACTATCCCTACCAGAACCCATTACTTATTTCTAAAACGCATCAGTCATTAGAACAATAAAAACGCTCAGACTATTAATACACATTATGACATTAAATAAACTCTAAGACTTCGCATAAATACGTGAAAACGCAGATACAATATAGAAAAATGTTTACTTAAGTATAATTAAGATAAACATTTATAAATGAATCATGTATTAATGTTCTTTTCATGTTCACATACTTTCTCTTTCTGGTATTTTGCTGCTCCTATTCATCTTCTGGTCGAGGTCGAACAACCCTGCATCTAAACTGAAATGAGGATTAATTCCAAACCGTCTATCTCATAACCACTCAAATTCCATGAACGATCCAATTCTACCATTTGAAGACGCTGGCGAACATGCTGTAAATGAGTATTCATGATCTGAAATGAAGAAGCAACTGGTTTTCAAACAGTTTTCAACGTTTTACTCAACTTACGAATACAGTCCGCCATGCAGACACAAATGGAGCAAATGGAGAATTCTGGAATCGACCTCGGCACCATTTGATGCAGTAAAACAACCCAACATGACCTTATTTAGTTTTCGTATCCACGATCAAATTTCTTTCCTGTTATAAAACTACGATAAGACTGCTGAAAAAATGGAATAAATATATCACTGATCTCAACATAATACATCAATAATCTTTAAGCCATGGGTGCTGCTCACAACAAAGTTATATAAGAGAATTGACTTCAAGCTTTATTTTTCCCAGATATCTGTATTACATTCATCTGATGTCTGGGTTTTTTGTTAATGCGAAGACAATATTTCTATATCTCTTTATGTGCTACACAAACAGACTTTATAGCAGACTGTTCCTACTGACTCTAATGTCAGAAAGAACAACCAAACTGTAAATTCATTATACATTAAATTGTGTGTAATTTATATAATAACTTATCCATGCCTGTACAATTGGTATGTTCCTGCATAAACAGGAAGAAATATATATATATATACAACTCATTTTTTGCCTTGTCACTATTTATTCTCCCTCATATTTTCGCTCGTTAAACTTCCATTTAGTTTTATGCCTCTACCTTTGTGTGCTACATGAAATGTGGTAAATTAAACAGGTGAACTTCTCTGCAAACTCATACTGAAGGCTAGTCAGAATGACACAGTCTGGCCATAACTGAATGCGAAACATTGATTAATGATCTCCAAAATTTCAACAAATGATAAGTGTAGTGTGCGTCGGTGGCACAGTGGTTAGGACTCTCGCCGACCATGCACATGGTCCCGGGTTCGAGCCCACGCCGACGCACACCTGATATCTAAGGTTGGCCTGCGAATTTTGGGCTACCGATATCCACGCTGAAAATTCCATACTTGTACCGAAAATACGGTGTGGAATCAAGCTGTAATTAAAAATAAAATAAAAAATAAATAAATAATCTTGTTCTTTGCCAAATGAAAAATAGATACCTTTGAGTAATCTCTTCTTCCACCCGGGACTCGTCTCCTACTTTGCATTTGGATTTGTGCTTTGTGACATTTGTGCTTAGCTTTCGGCCATTCAGGATTCGCCGTTGTTGTTGACTCAGCGCCTAGATGACTTTAGTTGAATAAGGTTTCGATCGTGCAAACTTGGGTCCTGGGCAGTTG